TTCCCCAAGTGTCGTCATGGACTTGCCATTGGCAATGTGAGGCGAGGTTTTTGGTGGCAATTGTGAGATCAATTGAACTCCACGTGTTGTGGACTTGGTCATAACGTGTGTGACTGCCGTTGTTCAGAGTTATGAGATTGTCGTCCTCAACCCATTTCTCTACCATTTTGCCGTATTTGCATGAATCATTCCTGTCTTCCCAAAGAGGGCTGTGGGCATCAAAGTCACCAAGGATTATCCCATTTTTGCCTACTATTTGAGCTAGTCTTGTTAGCTCTTCCATGTTCGTTTCATGGGTAACCCTGTGATATATGTTAGCTATGCGTAATTCGTTGGCATTTGCCAGTTTTAGGGAGATAACTTGGGTTTCAAGGTTCCCTACGTTTGCTTCAATATTTTTGGAGGTACAGCTGTCGTGGACAAGGGTGATTAGTCCTCCTCCCTTGTTGCCTGGCATAAGTCTTTTTCTGTCTTTTCTATATTGGGTATACCCAGGTAGTGTGAATTTGGCTTTTTCACTGAGTTTAGTCTCCTGTATTAGAATGACATGAGGCTTGATCACCTTTTTTTTGACGAGTGCAGTCAGTTCATTGCCGTGGCTCTTAAGGCCATTTGCGTTCCACTGTAGTAAAAGCAAGTCCATGATAATTTATAGATGAGCGCTTATTGAGTTTTAGGGCATACCCTGAGTTGCTTATATAAAAAAGTTGCTAGATATATAGAGAACTTTCATTTATGGCGTCTTTTAACCATCACGACAATAATACTGAGTGGTCCAAGTCAGGTTCAGGAGATGTGTGTTTTCACAGAACGAGCTGCTCGGAGATGCAGCACGTATTCTCGCGGTATGGCAGATTACAACTGTCTCAGATAATCTTGTTTTCCTAAACACACTCATAGAAAATAGAAGCATTAAGCAGGGTTGAGGGAGAGGTTTATCCTGAAATGCAAAGTGTCTCACCTTACCTTCTCCAAGTGTTACCCTGTGAGTATGATCCTTGAAAAAACCCACGACGGATTAGGTAAAAGCAAGGGATTTTCCGACCAGACACATACCATGAAAAAAGGGCTTCACTTTAAAGAGTATACTTCACTCCAACACATTTGGTGAAATTTTCTTGAGAAGATACAGTGAAAGTGCTCGACTTTAACAGACCAGTTTTCTTTGAGTTATCGTGCAACATTATTAAGTGTTATATAGGTAGATATAATACTAGTCATGTTGAGAATGTAGAGGAAAAAGGGCTTCACTTTGAACTCATGGTTTTCTTTAAATGCGATAAACTGTGACATTATAAAGTGGTACATAGGTAGATATAACACTCATCTATGGATGTAAACACATTTGAAGATAGATCTGTGTGTTTAAAGTTGATTTTGACAGCCCGGGCCAAGTCGGACCGAACACTTCTGACATAGATTTTCTTAAGAAAATACAGTAAAAATGCTTCACTTTGAGCCCCTTGTTTTCTTTAAATACGATGTACCGTGACATTATAAAGTGGTATATAGGTAGATATAACACTAATCCAAAGATGTAAACACATTTGAAGATACATCTGGTGTGTTTAAAGTTGATTTTGACAGCCCGGGCCAAGTCGGACCCAACACAAGCCAAACACTTCTGATAGAGACTATGTTGAGAATGTAAAGGGAAAAGGGCTACACTTTGAGCCCCTTGTTTTCTTTAAATGCGATAAACTGTGACATTATAAAGTGGTATATAGGTAGATATAACACTAATCCAAAGATGTAAACACATTTGAAGATACATCTGGTGTGTTTAAAGTTGATTTTGACCGCCCGGGCCAAGTCGGACCCAACACAAGCCAAACACTTCTGATAGAGAGTATGTTGAGAATGTAGAGGGAAAAGGGCTTCACTTTGAGTACCTTGTTTTCTTTAAGTACAGCGTTCTGAGACACTATAAAGTGGTATATAGGTAGATATAACACTAATCCAAAGATGTAAACACATTTGAAGATACATCTGGTGTGTTTAAAGTTGATTTTGACCGCCCGGGCCAAGTCGGACCCAACACAAGCCAAACACTTCTGATAGAGAGTATGTTGAGAATGTAGAGGGAAAAGGGCTTCACTTTGAGTACCTTGTTTTCTTTAATTACAGCGATCTGAGGCACTATAAAGTGGTATTTAGGTGGATATAATACTTATCTAAAGATGTGAATCCATTTGATGATACATCTGTGAGGTTTAAGTTGATTTTGACAGCCCGGGCCAAGTCGGACCGAACACTTCTGACATAGATTTTCTTAAGAAAATACATTAGAAATGCTTCACTTTGAGCCCCTTGTTTTCTTTAAATACGATGTACCGTGACATTATAAAGTAGTATATAGGTAGATATAACACTAATCCACTAATCTATAGATGTAAACACATTTGAAGATACGTCTGTGTGTTTAAAGTTGATTTTGACCGCCCGGGCAAAGTCGGACCCAACACAAGCCAAACACTTCTGATAGAGACTATGTTGAGAATGTAGAGGGAAAAGGGCTTCACTTTGAGTACCTTGTTTTCTTTAAGTACAGCGTTCTGAGACACTATAAAGTGGTATTTAGGTAGATATAACACTAGTCTATAGATGTAAACACATTTAAAGATAGATCTGTGAGGTTTAAGTTGATTTTGACAGCCCGGGCCAAGTCGGACCGAACACTTATGACATAGATTTTCTTAAGAAAATACAGTGAAAATGCTTCACTTTGAGCCCCTTGTTTTCTTTAAATACGATGTACCGTGACATTATGAAGTGGTATATAGGTAGATATAACACTAATCTATAGATGTAAACACATTTGAAGATACATCAGTGTGTTTAAACACATTTGAAGATACGTATGTGTGTTTAAAGTTGATTTTGACCGCCCAGGCCAAGTCGGACCGAACACTAGCCAAACATTTAGAGACTATGTTGAGAATGTAAAGGGAAAAGGGCTTCACTTTGAGCCCCTTGTTTTCTTTAAATACGATGTACCGTGACATTATAAAGTGGTATATAGGTAGATATAACACTAATCTATAGATGTAAACACATTTGAAGATACATATTTGTGTTTAAAGTTGATTTTGACAGCCCGGGCCAAGTCGGACCCAATACAGGCCAAACACTTCTGATAGAGACTATGTTGAGAATGTAAAGGGAAAAGGGCTTCACTTTGAGCACCTTGTTTTCTTTAAATACGATGTACCGTGACAATATAAAGTGGTATATAGGTAGATATAACACTAATCTATAGATGTAAACACATTTGAAGATACATATTTGTGTTTAAAGTTGATTTTGACAGCCCGGGCCAAGTCGGACCCAATACAGGCCAAACACTTCTGATAGAGACTATGTTGAGAATGTAGAGGGAAAAGGGCTTTACTTTGAGCACCTTGTTTTCTTTAAATACGATGTACCGTGACATTATAAAGTGGTATATAGGTAGATATAACACTAATCAAAAGATGTAAACACATTTGAAGATACATATTTGTGTTTAAAGTTGATTTTGACAGCCCGGGCCAAGTCGGACCCAATACAGGCCAAACATTTCTGATAAAGACTATGTTGAGAATGTAGAGGAAAAAGGGCTTTACTTTGAGCACCTTGTTTTTTTTTAAAATACGATGTACCGTGACATTATAAAGTGGTATATAGGTAGATATAACACTAATCTATAGATGTAAACACATTTGAAGATACATATTTGTGTTTAAAGTTGATTTTGACAGCCCGGGCCAAGTCGGACCCAATACAGGCCAAACACTTCTGATAGAGACTATGTTGAGAATGTAGAGGGAAAAGGGTTTTACTTTGAGCACCTTGTTTTCTTTAATTACAGCGATCTGAGACACTATAAAGTGGTATATAGGTGGATATAATACTAATCTATAGATGTGAATCCATTTCATGATACATCTGTGAGGTTTAAGATGATTTTGACAGCCCGGGCCAAGTCGGACCCAACACAAGCCAAACACTTCTGATAGAGAGAATGTAGAGGGAAAAGGGCTTCACTTTTGAGCACCGTGTTTGCTACTGCAATATGAGACACTAAAGTGTTATATAGGTAGATATGATATTATAATTAGTCTATAGATGTAAGTATGTGATGTAATTTTAGAAGCGCTTTGACAGTTATTAACACGTGTCGTGTCAGTCCTATGACATTCGCGAATATCCACTTGCAGAAAACATCCTGTGTTGGTTTAACATAAATGAGTAAAGGTTAATTAGGTATGCCAAACACGTTAATTAATGAAAGAAGAGTAGTCAAAACACTGTCATTTCGAATTCCTGCCAAGGACATCACACCCCTGCACGTTAAGGTCGGTGTGAAACCTTCTCATCAAAGTAAAGACACAGTCAAGACACTGACTTTTCGGTATGAACTCTCGGTATGTAGCTATAATTATCAGTTTATTACATTGCTGAAGATACATTTTGATTCAAACTCAATTAAATGAGCAAAACTATCCGTTTCTGGACATTTGAGATCTGCCTAGATATGCACGTTTCGTTTTATTATTCTGCAATCCACTTTTAGTATTACCCGCTGGCCCGGCCCGGCCCGACTTTTCTTGGCCCGACTTTTAGGCAATCCCAAACACAGGCCTCCATCTTGCATAGATCATTGACTAGCATAGGATCTCGACTAGCAAAGGTCCCTCCCTGACTGGCATGAGAACTCGACCAGCACAGACCCTGTCCAGTAAAGGTCCCTGAATAGCATGGGGACTCGACTAGCATACGCCCATATGTATTGTATCAACTGAACATTAAAACCCATCATCTGTTTACTAGAATCAAATCATCACGAAATGCTACGATCCCGCAGGGCCCCGTATCACAAAGTGATAGTGGCGCTGCAGTCATAGTTGTTCCTCGCTACGATCGCTTTGTGAAACGGGACTTAGCTATGTACGTTATAAAGCTCGAGAAAACAAAGGCTTTCAATTTCCGTATTTGAATTATTCTGCATGTCTTCGCAGTATCGGCAAGAACATCAGCACCCACGAACCAAATCATGAGTCACTGGTTGGGCTGCAGCGACTGGACCTGACTGGCCAGTACAAACACCCTGAAGGTAGGCTTCAAAAGCCTGTTTAAAGCACTACAGGTAACCTCAAGGTAGGCTCGCTTCCCCTGACCCACGGTAAAAACGCTACGCTCAACCTGAGGGTAGGCTCGCTGCCCCTGACCCAAGGGGAAAACACTACACTCAAACCTGAGGGTAGGCTCGCTGCCCCTGACCCCAGGTAAAAACACTACACTCACCCCGAGGGTAGGATCGCTGCCCCTGACCCCAGGTAAAAACACTACGCTCACCCCGAGGGTAGGCTCGCTGCCCCTGACCCCAGGTAAAAACACTACGCTCACCCTGAAGGTAGGCTCGCTGCCCCTGACCCCAGGTAAAAACACTACGCTCACCCCGAGGGTAGGCTCGCTGCCCCTGACCCCAGGTACAAACACTACGCTCATCCTGAAGGTAGGCTCGCTGCCCCTGACCCCTGGTAAAAACACTACACTCAGCCTGAATGAAGGCTCGCTGCCCCGGACCCCAGGTAAAAGCACTATGCTCACTGTGAATATAGGCTCGCTGCCCCTGACCCCAGGTAAAAGCACTACACTCACCCTGAGGATAGGCTCGCTGCCCCTGACCCCTGGTAAAAACACTACGCTCATCCTGAATGTAGGCTCACTGCAGCTGACCCCAGGTAAAAGCACTACGCTCATCCTGAATGTAGGCTCGCTGCCCCTGACCCCTGGTAAAAACACTACGCTCATCCTGAATGTAGGCTCACTGCCCCTGACCCCAGGTAAAAACACTACGCTCATCCTGAATGTAGGCTCGCTGCCCCTGACCCCTGGTAAAAGCACTACGCTCATCCTGAATGTAGGCTCACTGCCCCTGACCCCAGGTAAAAGCACTACGCTCACTCTGAATGTAGGCTCACTGCCCCTGACCCCAGGTAAAAGCACTACACTCACCCCGAGGTTAGGCTCGCTGCCCCTGACCCCAGGTTAAAACCCTACGCTCACCCCGAGGGTAGTATACCCCTACCTAATGCTGCAACTAACTACAGTACTGTGGCATTATGTGTGCGTTTTTCTCATTATTAAGTACCACATTTATGATGTGTATGCACAAGGGTCATGAATGCTAGACACTCACACAAATAGAAAACTCCGAGGCCTTATCCCCAAAACGTAGATTGATTGATACCAGTGGTACAGTTTCATTGTGGTTTCATCAAAGTGGTAAATGTCAAATGTCTTACGATTTAATTTGCGCCAACTGTAATTAAACTGAAGTATCGGCAAGAACATCAGCACCCACGAACCAAATCATGAGTCACTGGTTGGGCTGCAGCGACTGGACCTGACTGGCCAGTACAAACACCCTGAAGGTAGGCTTCAAAAGCCTGTTTAAAGCACTACAGGTAACCTCAAGGTAGGCTCGCTTCCCCTGACCCACGGTAAAAACGCTACGCTCAACCTGAGGGTAGGCTCGCTGCCCCTGACCCAAGGGGAAAACACTACACTCAAACCTGAGGGTAGGCTCGCTGCCCCTGACCCCAGGTAAAAACACTACACTCACCCCGAGGGTAGGATCGCTGCCCCTGACCCCAGGTAAAAACACTACGCTCACCCCGAGGGTAGGCTCGCTGCCCCTGACCCCAGGTAAAAACACTACGCTCACCCTGAAGGTAGGCTCGCTGCCCCTGACCCCAGGTAAAAACACTACGCTCACCCCGAGGGTAGGCTCGCTGCCCCTGACCCCAGGTACAAACACTACGCTCATCCTGAAGGTAGGCTCGCTGCCCCTGACCCCTGGTAAAAACACTACACTCAGCCTGAATGAAGGCTCGCTGCCCCGGACCCCAGGTAAAAGCACTATGCTCACTGTGAATATAGGCTCGCTGCCCCTGACCCCAGGTAAAAGCACTACACTCACCCTGAGGATAGGCTCGCTGCCCCTGACCCCTGGTAAAAACACTACGCTCATCCTGAATGTAGGCTCACTGCAGCTGACCCCAGGTAAAAGCACTACGCTCATCCTGAATGTAGGCTCGCTGCCCCTGACCCCTGGTAAAAACACTACGCTCATCCTGAATGTAGGCTCACTGCCCCTGACCCCAGGTAAAAACACTACGCTCATCCTGAATGTAGGCTCGCTGCCCCTGACCCCTGGTAAAAGCACTACGCTCATCCTGAATGTAGGCTCACTGCCCCTGACCCCAGGTAAAAGCACTACGCTCACTCTGAATGTAGGCTCACTGCCCCTGACCCCAGGTAAAAGCACTACACTCACCCCGAGGTTAGGCTCGCTGCCCCTGACCCCAGGTTAAAACCCTACGCTCACCCCGAGGGTAGTATACCCCTACCTAATGCTGCAACTAACTACAGTACTGTGGCATTATGTGTGCGTTTTTCTCATTATTAAGTACCACATTTATGATGTGTATGCACAAGGGTCATGAATGCTAGACACTCACACAAATAGAAAACTCCGAGGCCTTATCCCCAAAACGTAGATTGATTGATACCAGTGGTACAGTTTCATTGTGGTTTCATCAAAGTGGTAAATGTCAAATGTCTTACGATTTAATTTGCGCCAACTGTAATTAAACTGAAATACTTGTCAAAGGGGGTAAAACTAAACTCACCCACTCAGTGTACATCAACACCCGATGGCAAAAATCACATAACTTTTGGTGGAATGCACCCGTGTAGATCCCGGTCAGAATTTCATCTTCAGCAACCCATGCTTGTTGTAAGAGGCGACTAACGAGATCGGGTGGTCAGGCTCGCTGACTTAGTTGATGAATGTAAGGTATCCCAATTGCATAGATCAATGCTCAGGATGCCAATCACTGGATTGTCTGGTCCAGACTCGATAATTTACAGATCGCCGCCATAATGCTGGAATATTGCTGCGTGTGACGTTAAACAACAAACAAACAAACAAACAAACAAAACGAAAAGCTGGAGAGGACACCAGTGTGAAGTCGTAGAATGTCTTGTTGCTAAGCACTTACACCTGGAACAAACCAGACCAGGGCCAAGTTACACAAAGCGATCTTAGCACTTAGTGCTAAGCTGGTCGTAACTCCCATACTTTACCATAGGCTTACGATCAACGTAGCACTAAGATCGCTTTGTGGAATAGGGCCCAGGGCCCCGTTACACAAAGCGATCTTAGCACTGCGATTATCGCCAGCCTATGTTAAAGTATGGGGATTATGCTCACCTTAGCGTTGAGATCGCTTTGTGGAACTGGGCCCTGGCCCTAAGGCAAGGCTGAACGGCTGATGTCTTTATTTCTGAGTTACTTCTCTGCTCGTAGGTTCTGCTAAAGCACGGGGTGTGCTCCGACAGGCCCAGGCCATGTTCAGAAAGGACAACTTAGTTGAGGATGAGGATGAGGATGCGCTGCCGGCGTCAGAGGTCAGCGCGTGAATGTTACAGCTTATAGTGCTCGTGTTTGATGTCTGGGACGTTGATACATATTGTTATTGTGACACATGGTGCAGTGGGAAAGCTTGATGGGTCCGTTCATACATACAGGACCTAGGTTGAATCTGTGTTCTTGGAATCCCTCGCACTGTTTCATCTATTACTACAATTGAAGAGCATGTGTTGTTTTTTATTCTAAATTTATACTGCTTTGCATAAACGTTTTAAAAAATACATTTTACAAATATTTGAAAGTAAAGTCGACAAGGATTTATTCTTAAGGTATTGCAAGTGTCTTAATCCATACAAAACCTGACAATTTTTTTCATTCTTGCATAATGAACGTTTTAGAATTTGGGATATTTTTCAATTTCTGACCTTAGGACATTGGCTTGAGTATGGACAATATCGACACCCTGGTGGGAAACGGCTTCTCGGTAAAGATACACGCTCGCAACCTCAGCGATGTCGTCCGCACAGTTACCCTGACTATCGACATCTCGTACAAGACCTACAACGGCGTCATGACGGGGATGGTGGCCCAGTCTGAACACACGGAGACGTTGCAAGCAGGACAAAGTAGGTACAACATTGTAGTCATAGGAGACACAGGTAGACTATACTGAGACATTGGATGTAGGAGAGAATAAATGTACCATTGTAGTCATATGAGACACATACTGAGATATTGGAGGTAGGAGAGAGTAGTACAACATTGTAGTCAAAGGAGACACATGTAGACTATGATGAGATATGTAGGAGAGAGTAAGTCCAACATTGTAGTCATATCGGACACATATCGTCGACTGTACTGAGTAATTACACGTGGGAGAGAATAGATACAATGTAGTCATATGAGACACAAGCCGTAGACCGTGCAGAGGCAGGAGAGAGTAGTCCACAATTGCGATAATTAGGGTTTACAATAACTGTAGCGCTAAGATCAGTTTGTGCACGGGGGCCCAGGTTAGTAGAGTAAGTGAGTGAGTGAGTATGGTTTTACGCTGCTTTTAGCAATATTCAAGCAATATCACGGCGCGGGACACCAGAAATAGGCTTCAAACATTGTACCCATGTCGGGAATCGAACCCGGGTCTTCGGCGTGACGAGGGAACGCTTTAACCACTAGGCTGCCCGACCGCCCCCCAGGTTAGTAAATTTGTGTTGTGTTTTAGGTCGCTCCTTCAGCTTGAGTGTGACACCCGAGCAGGCAATGATGCGCCCGAAGGAAGGCTTTAACTTCCAGATCAAGGCTCACGCGAAGGTCAAGGACACCGGAAATCTCGTCATACAACAGTACAACGTCCAGCTGCGCCGACCTGACCTTGTCATAAAGGTGGGTTTTGAATGAGTGGCAGGATAAGGTGACACAGCGCTACCCACGTCTTTAACTGAAAATATGCAAGTCATACATGAATCTACTGTCACACGTTATGTGTTTTGTAGGGTCCATCCACTGCTAAGATCGGGAAAACAGTTGAGGTGGAAATCTCCCGTCTATACATATACTTACTGTCACATGTTGTGTGTTATGTAGGGTCCCTCCACTGCTAAAGCCGGGGAGACAGTAGAGGTGGAACTCTCCCGTCCATATATATACTTACTGTCACATGTTGTGTTATGTAGGGTCCCTCGATTGCTAAACCCGGGGAGACAGTACAGGTGGAAATCTCCCGTCCATATATATATACTTACTGTCACGTGGTGTGTGTTATGTAGGGTCCCTCAACTGCTAAACCCGGGGAGACAGTACAGGTGGAAATCTCCCGTCCATATATATATACTTACTGTCACGTGGTGTGTGTTATGTAGGGTCCCTCCACTGCTAAAGCCGGGGAGACAGTAGAGGTGGAACTCGTCCGTCCATATATATACTTACTGTCACATGGTGTGTGTTATGTAGGGTCCCTCCACTGCTAAAGCCGGTGAGACAGTAGAGGTGGAACTCTCCCGTCCATATATATACTTACTGTCACATGTTGTGTGTTATATAGGGTCCCTCCACTGCTAAAGCCGGGGAGACAGTACAGGTGGAACTCTCCCGTCCATATATATACTTACTGTCACATGTTGTGTGTTATGTAGGGTCCCTCCACTGCTAAAGCCGGGGAGACAGTACAGGTGGAACTCTTCCGTCCATATATATACTTACTGTCACACTTTCTGTGTTATGTAGGGTCCCTCCACTGCTAAAGCCGGGGAGACAGTACAGGTGGAACTCTCCCGTCCATATATATACTTACTGTCACGTGGTGTGTGTTATGTAGGGTCCCTCCACTGCTAAAGCCCGGGAGACAGTACAGGTGGAACTCTCCCGTCCATATATATACTTACTGTCACATGGTGTGTGTTATGTAGGGTCCCTCCACTGCTAAAGCCGGGGAGACAGTACAGGTGGAACTCTCCCGTCCATATATATACTTACTGTCACATGTTGTGTGTTATGTAGGGTCCCTCCACTGTTAAAGTCGGGGAGACAGTAGAGGTGGAACTCTCCCGTCCATATATATACTTACTGTCACATGTTGTGGGTTACGTAGGGTCCCTCCACTGCTAAAGCCGGGGAGACAGTACAGGTGGAACTCTCCCGTCCATATATATACTTACTGTCACATGTTGTGTGTTATGTAGGGTCCCTCCACTGCTAAAGCCGGGGAGACAGTACAGGTGGAACTCTCCCGTCCATATATATACTTACTGTCACATGTTGTGTGTTATGTAGGGTCCCTCCACTGTTAAAGTCGGGGAGACAGTAGAGGTGGAACTCTCCCGTCCATATATATACTTACTGTCACATGTTGTGGGTTACGTAGGGTCCCTCCACTGCTAAAGCCGGGGAGACAGTACAGGTGGAACTCTTCCGTCCATATATATACTTACTGTCACATGGTGTGTGTTATGTAGGGTCCCTCCACTGCTAAAGCCGGGGAGACAGTAGAGGTGGAACTCTCCCGTCCATATATATACTTACTGTCACATGGTGTGTGTTATGTAGGGTCCCTCCACTGCTAAAGCCGGGGAGACAGTACAGGTGGAACTCTCCCGTCCATATATATACTTACTGTCACGTGGTGTGTGTTATGTAGGGTCCCTCCACTGCTAAAGCCGGGGAGACAGTACAGGTGGAACTCTCCCGTCCATATATATACTTACTGTCACATGGTGTGTGTTATGTAGGGTCCCTCCACTGCTAAAGCCGGGGAGACAGTACAGGTGGAACTCTCCCGTCCATATATATACTTACTGTCACATGTTGTGTGTTATGAAGGGTCCCTCCACTGCTAAAGCCGGGGAGACAGTACAGGTGGAACTCTTCCGTCCATATATATACTTACTGTCACATGTTGTGTGTTATGTAGGGTCCCTCCACTGCTAAAGCCGGGGAGACAGTAGAGGTGGAACTCTCCCGTCCATATATATACTTACTGTCACATGTTGTGTGTTACGTAGGGTCCCTCCACTGCTAAAGCCGGGGAGACAGTACAGGTGGAACTCTCCTGTCCATATATATACTTACTGTCACATGTTGTGTGTTACGTAGGGTCCCTCCACTGCTAAAGCCGGGGAGACAGTACAAGTGGAACTCTCCCGTCCATATATATACTTACTGTCACATGTTGTGTGTTACGTAGGGTCCCTCCACTGCTAAAGCCGGGGAGACAGTACAGGTGGAACTCTCCCGTCCATATATATACTTACTGTCACATGTTGTGTGTTACGTAGGGTCCCTCCACTGCTAAAGCCGGGGAGACAGTACAGGTGGAAATCTCGTTCACCAACCCTCTCCCCGTCCTGATGCCAAACTGTGAGGTGGAGATTGACGGCAACATGAAGGTGGTGGCTCCCTTCACGGACAACATCAAGATAGGGTAAGTGATACTTACTTTGTTTTGAATACTTACTTACCATTTCTTTTGTGGGGTTCTGGGTCGGAATGAGTACCAAATACTTCTAGCTTGTAGTAACAGCCGATTACAATAAGGGTCAGCCTCTGTGACTTGCCTGGTTGCATGTCATCGTGCCAAGATGGCGTTCGGCGTTGCTCATGCGTTCAGCCACTGGTTTGACAGGCCCAGATTCCATAATTTTTTATGTCTTCGATATATATGTCACTGACTCACATTGACTGAACGATCTTGACCCACTCACTGACGGACTCACATTGACCGACGCACTGACTGATTCACATTGGCTGACTCACGCTGCCTGAACGACTTACATTGACTCACTCACTGACCCACATTGACTGACTGATTCACTCACATTGACCCACTCACTCACTGGCTCACTCACATTGACCAACTCACTCACTGACTCCAATTGACTGATTCACATAAACCGACTCACTCTAACTGACTGAACGACTTACTTTGACCCACTCACTGACCCACATTAACTACCTGACTGCTTTACTCACATTGACCCACTCACTGACTCGCCCACGCTGATAGAACATAGAGGATTATTATGTTCTATTTAATACCGAAGAAGATGCTTTCATCAAATTTAAATGGTTACCTATAAGGACAGCAAATCGCAACAGCAGCGGAACCAGCGGAACCACAATTGTCGAATGCCGTCAACAATCTTCAGCTATTGACGTCGTTTCTAGTGTGACGTCATTCCGACCTCACGTCCCAAGATTCGAATGACGTCAACAAAAAGGCGTCTGGATGACGGAAACAATACACTGTTGCCTCGTGACGTGATATGACCCTAGGGCACATACGATTTTTATGAACCCCGATATGTTTGCACTCGTAGGTAATAAATACTCATACTGACCAACTTACTGACTCGCTGACGCATGCTGCTTTTCAGAGACATCTCTCCTGGACAGACCTGGAGGAAGACGATCAAGATGTCCCCCACGTTCTTCCCCCGAGCCCAGAAGAAGAGGGAGGCGAGCTTTGGTCTGGAGTCCGACCAGCTCGGTGATGTCAGAGGATCCTACGGCATCAAACTCACTTAGAGCGACCATATTGACAATTACATGTGATAGATGTACAATCGGTTCCGCTTCCACATTCCATAGCTTAGTGGTATTAGAGCAAGTGACAATATGCTTTTCCTCTCTAATATTTATTGCCGTTTGGGCTGCATAATCTCATGATGAAAAGAGAGGACATATGACGCATTGCGCACTGTCCATGACAATAACGCAACGTTCGGTAGGCGTTAAACGACCAAATGCTTAATTTACTTAGGCTATCTAGACTTGCCAAATCTTTCTTGGCTTGAGTGGGATATTATTGATTTTTTAAATTTTATTCTCTAGAGTCTGTGACACAGACTACAGACGACATTATAGAAATGTTTTGCAGTGTTCTCCTCATTCAAGTCTTTGAGAAAAGAATATTTTTGGTGAGAAGATTATGTGATTCAAATGCATAATGGAACGTGGCAAGTGTGCCCCAAGCACCCCTGGAATAGTGTAGTTCTCTTTGCAGTAACATAACCTCAGCGATAATTTCTATCGAAGTATTCACATTATGCTCAAATTTACTCAAATATATTATGTTCGCGGCGTTATTAATTGTACGTATTGTTATAACGTATTGACCTTGCCAAGAGTCTACACAGCACTAGACGTCTCCAAGCCTTTGTGTTTTTATAAAATTGGATAAACAGAATCGTTTCAGACCGTAAACAGCAGCATATGATTTATTATCGAATATGAGAACATTGGCACTACATAAGATTGTGTAATTTATTAAACATCTTTTTCAGCGTTGAATATTTACAGTGTATAACGGTGTGCATTGCTTAACATTATGTACTTTATAAAGTATTAACTGATATAATATCTATTTTTTACATTATTTGTCGGGCTTAGTTTGACATTTATACGCAAACCATCTGACTTCAAAAATACAAGAAAAATGTCAGCGGCGGCTTGAGATTAAGAAATCTTAATATACACGTGTACAAATAATGAAAGTCCCTTTGGCCCTCTAAATCTACATATTTCGAAACATTTGCCAGAATCTAAACTATATATTTTTATATGAGCTGTCTCACATTAATATATCGGCACGATAGCATTATCAAAGTACTTGTATGCCAGGTTCCTCCATGGTATCTGCTAGTGTGGTACGCTGCTAGGTTCTCATTGATAGAGCTCAACCCGAGGCATGTTCCTACACGTAAAGTCTGACTGTTTTAAATCATTTTATCTCAGAAAAGATTTACAGCTTTATTGAGTGTTATTGACGCTATAGACCTAAAGGGGGACTTGGCTCGGACAAATTGCCAGTCATAGCAAATTTGATTCCACTCCCCCTAACACCATTCTGTTTGCATAACAGATTAATTTTTTGGTATTTATCGCAAATTAATGCTTGGCATAATCACACAGATACAGACTTAGTTTCACGCATGACCCATTGACTCGAACTGGGCAGAACATCGGCAGCAGACCGCGGAGAGTAGCCCCCCTTTAAATCTTAACTTTATCAAGAGAAAAGTCCCCCTTTATATCTTATCAAGAGAAAAGTCCATGATTTATATTGAAGAATACCAAGAGCAGAGGGTCCGCTACGCGGGTAACAGACACACTTCACGGACTAAATCCATACTATAGGATATATGAGACAAATTGGGTAGAAAGTTCAAGAAAGATGTGACATGAACATTTTGATCTCTCAACGAGAAATTACGAAAGGTAACTGGGATAAGCGCACGTAAAATCAGAAACACAAATCCACGTTAACTTTACTCTAGCTGTGTTGCAATACAAGTAGACATGACTTTATACTAATAGTTAAGCATGCGTGCGGAATCATGTCAATAACATGAAACGCCACGTAAACGAGCCGTCTTCGTTTGCAACGGAACAGCACAAGTAGTCGCGAATGCGTGACCATCTGTCTCACTCTGGAAAAGCCGACCGTCGTGCATTTCCTGCAAAAGAGCAACTGAGAATAGCGAAGAATGAAGAAAATCTGGTGTGCTACTTGGTTGTGTACATCCTGAGAATCTGTTGATTCTACTTCCGGACTGAACAGATTCGAGTGATTTCTCAGACTTCACTGTTATGGTTGATATACAATTTCTCTCTAATTTTGCAAAGTAACCTATAGTTCTGTCCGTTAAACGTGTTGAAATGCACGTTTAAAGTGCACGTTTGCCTATTTTATTCATGACTCATATTCAACTGCAACAGTGTGACGTCATTCACAATGGTTTTATTTACAGGACTATTTTCACAACAGCACAGACGCTATTGAGACTCTTGATAATGTTCAGTGTGATAACACTTTTGTACCTGGGACATTTTTCTTTCTAATTCTATAAACTAAAATAAAACACTTGTAATTGCCTTGTCGTGTTTTCGCATTTGACATGTATCGACTCGTTACCAACTCGTCATTCCGGAACAAGCCGAGGGATTGCGAGTGGTTACAAGTGAACATCCATCAAGAGGGGGACGAGTCTCCTTACGATGTACCGAGTGGTGACGATTGTAGGAATTTCATCGTTCAACATGCTTCTATAACGTCTCCCATTACTTTGTTATCTTTGTGGATAATTTAATTATGCCGAAAAGCATGACAGCTGATTCACGCGGGCAAGAATGAAGTTAACCACTTTGCTGCGTTTATATGAATTACAAGAATATTTTCTTAGTCCTCGGTTGGTATGGAATCTCACGAAATCTATCCATTCTTGACCAACAAATGTCCTTCCAGAACATGTCGAATTGTTGCGAGTAGTGACGATGTCGAACAAGCATCAATTCGGGACCGAGTCTTCTTATATACAGTTTACGGAAAGAATGGAGTGGTGACGACTACCTTTGTTCATCAACATGCAGCCATAACGTGTCTCGTGTTTTTGTAATATTTTTGCAGCTAATTTCTCATTTACTTTGTCGTGGTACACACGACGTACAACAATGACAGATGGTGCGAGCAGAGGGGTTAACCAGAGTGAGTATATATTAATGCCATATAGCTATTAACGCGAGGATGACACCCTTCCGGTAACAAAAACATGTTTAATGACATGGGGAGTACGAACATGACATCGAATCAGGGTGCACACGCACAAAACGATCCTAGCAGTTAGATAGCTTTGTGCAACTGGGCCCTGTAGGTATTATTACAGGTGATGTCTTTCTGACGACCAAGCTATTTTATACACTCTCATTAGAATCAGACCTTTTATTCCGATCTTCCAAATGAACAATTTAGGTTATTGAACCTAACGTATGTCAGACATTTTTTTACGTTTTATTTCTTTCCAACTTCGATTCGGTAATTTCAATCTTACAAAAAACAGCACAGAACACAAGTATTCATCTGTAGGCGTAGAAACGACATGGTGTACATTAATATATCCAACATATATAGCGCGGCCTTTATTATTTTCCATTCGGGACCGCCCTTTCTGTTCGTTTTTCGCGTCTAGAGTCTCTTTGAATCCTGATATGCACTCAAGAGCGTTATTGTATGAGTTGAGGTCAACCTACGTAGATATATTACGGCAGTTTGTTAGTTTAGTCGGATAAAGCCAAAAGTGACACAGGTCATTTATGATTACAAGTTCGCTGAAACCCACGAACACCTGTAGGATTCGAAGCCACGTCCAGCGGTTCAAGTAAGCTAAAGGGGCACGACTCTGTACATAGAAAGACACTTAACATTCGCGTGTCCTGATCTCTGGCAGATGTTTCGGTTAAAAATGGAATACCATTCTATCTCCGAGATATAAAACTACACTACTGTCTTAGAGTATAATGGACATCGCACAAGAGATAATGAGAAATTAATTCACTTGTTTGCTTCTGTGTGAGAGTAAAGTTTTACACCGTTTCTTAGCAATATTTCTGCAATATCACGACAGGGAACACCAGAAATGGGCTTCACACATTGTACCCATGTGGGGAATCGAAGCCGGGTCATCGGAAGGGCGAGCGAACGCTTCACCCACAAGGCTACCCTACCGCCTCAATTTCAAAGGAGCACAATCGTAGTATTACTAAACTTTATTTTCTTCTTATTTCATGCAAATAAACAAACAGTGCTGCAGCACTATAATCAGCATCCCACGGACTATTCTGTGACACGGCCTACTCGTCCTGGTAACGATAGGTTCTGCTGTGGTTATTGTTGTCACCAACCACAGCACGTAAACATTGCACCAGGGTGTTGCCAACCATGTCCCATACCGATGGCCGATTGGCGACACGGATTGCAGAGGCAGCGTTACGTCGTTCAATATCCAGCATCGACATCGACGACGACTGGGAGCCTAGACAATGGAAAACTCCGTGTCAGCATAACTGAAGCCTAGGTGCGGAATAAGTTGCATCGGAAGCGCTAATAAAATCCTACACTTTAAGCAAACGAAGGCAAAAGCCGTAACGCCAACTCACTGGTCCACAAGGAAACCTCGACTATCTTTATTCACCCTAGGCGCCAGACGAGTATAATAAACAATGTCATATAACCGCCTCCAGGGTCTAGTTTGTTTGTTGTTTAACGCCGCACTCAGCAGTATTCCAGCTATATTACGGCGGTCTGTAAATAATCGAGTCTGGACCAGCCAATCCAGTGATTGATATCCCGAGCATCGATCCACGCAAATTAGGAAACAATGACATGCATCAACCAAGTCAGCGAGTCTAGTGGATGGGGGTGCCATCATTATCCATTTCTATGCACATTTCCAGATAGAACACTGAACGGTTGTTTCTTTGATTTCAAACCTGGGGTCCGCCTCCGTGGTATTTTGACAGAGCGTCTGCCCGGAGGAGCGCAGGTTCGGTGGTTCGATCCCCTGGCCTCATACCAAAAGATTACGCTAAAAGACACTTGTTGTTACCGTGCCTGGCATATGACATAAATTAAGCTCTTTAGATTTGGTCGGTTCGGAGTCAGTATACTGTTTGAGCGGGATATCCTTGTATCTCAGTGACCTAGCAAAATATATAACCGGCATCAGTCCGGATCAGTACAAGAATCCGCGAGCACACACACACACGCACGCTTGACGCACGCACGCACGCACAGGTCTACATAAATGCAATAATCTTGAACGCGACGACTCCTTTTCACCTTATGGGGATTCCAGGTAAGAACCAAGGTTCCCATCAGATTAAGTTTGTCGTAAGGGGCGACTATCCAAATTGCGTGGATCCAGTCTCATGAGGTTTATTTTCTGGTCCAGATTTACAGACCGCCGTCATATAGCCGAGTGGGATGTAATACGACAAACAAACAGTTTGCGAAAATTAAATGCATAACTTGTTCGATGTCTTCAAGCGACCCTTATATGTTATAGAGATCAAAGGAACGTTAAAAGCCCACTGACTGCGTCATTCTGGCAATATTGAATAAGTCGCGCCTTCTCACCCACCCTCTGTTTGTTGATTTTCGTGTTTAGTGACTGCTCTTACCTAAAACAAGTCGTATTTACGGATACACTGGGTGACACACTTACCCCCAAGGGATATCATGATTTCGGACATTCTTGACACCTCCCCCTTCTTATTAGGTGACTTCACCATCTCTGTACCCCCCACGATGTAGGAGTACTCTCCCGAGATGGGGACCTCGTCTGGTACATACGGCACGTACCCGGTCCCTTCTAAACCCGGCATCAATAACGGGTCTGCAACACAGCAACAACAACATGCCATCAGCACAGCAACAGCAACCACATACATGTAGTAACACCAACAAATCACCTCCACGGTATTATGAAAATTGCTTTATTTATTACTCGGCAATTTCTTGATTTATCATTTAGGCGTTCTCTGCATTAAATGAGGTGACACTGTTTTGGGAGTAATTTTGGGCTTATTTGGTTTCAGTGTCTCTCCTTCCCTGGGTTAATGAAGTCTGCGTGCGTACGGTCCAAGCAGTCTGGGCCCCATTTTACAAAGCAACGTTACTTATGTTGATCGTAATTTTAACCCCAGTGTCGCGCTATTTGACAGTCCCTTGAACCAAGACACCACAGTCTGAGATGGACGAGAGTTAAGGTTTGAATCTAAGGTTGGTCTGACACAATGAGATTGCTAACGATGAGATTGTTGGTATCTATTCAATGGTGGTGTTTCTAAATAAAAGGAGGGTTTTATTTCTTACTTTTACGCATTAATTTGTTAACGAGAAATACGTCATTCTAATCACAATTGACAGTTTATTTCATAAACTTGTTTAATTCACAGTTCAATCAATTTTACCTGAAATATAAAATGATTAAAGAAACGATCATATGGTAATTAATACTTTCCCCGTGTTATGGGTTTTCGGACGCTTTTAGAAACATTCGTAGTTTTCTCGCTTATCAAATGAACAAATGCAAAACATCCCATTCACTTATAAAGACAACTTTATCTTAAAAACAAGCCGTCATCTGAGCATTTACAATGTATGTGTCATGCCACACCCCTCGTTATAGCGCGCACAATCACGATAAATATGGCCGACAAACATTGCTATATCTACGAAAGGTTTAGTGTTTTGGGTCAGTGCGGTGTCAATGTTCAAAGAGAATAAGGACATAATTTTTTAGAAAAATACAGTTTGGACATAAACTGTATTTGGCGGTAAGGACATAACTCATACATTGGTTAAGCTATAACTTCAAGTCTCAATGAAAACTATTAATCTTACCATCAAGTTTTTTCCGCTCTAAACTTCAGTTATTGTAGATTAAAAAATGACGTCATGACAATCAACACTACGTCATAAACAATGTGACGTCACTGTACGGAAGTGACGTTTATAAATTCTTTCATACATTGTTTTTTCTGTCCATTCGTCACCACTCGCCCCTTTCCGTAACTTGCAAAAAGACTTTCTCCCGAATAACACGAGTTGGTAAAGAATGTATTCTGTCATCCAAATAGACCTACTTTAGTCGCACAAGGGGATTATATTTTCTGTTATTTCTCCGACATCGTGATGTGTTGTTCATGTTATTAACTATTGTTCGAGACTCGATTATTTGAAGGCTTCTGTGGTTTTGCTTGAATATTACTGATGTTTGCATTAAACAACATTCACTTCACTTGTGGTGAGGAAGACCCTTTAGACAGATATGTACTGTAGGTTGAAGTGTCACTTTCATAAATCAAGCATGCAAAGATTTACACGGCTTGTCGAAAGATTGTCTCCAGTGCATTTGTTTGACAGAGACGCATGTCCAGACTTTCCACCTGAAAAATAAAACTTCACAGTCCCGAGTCCTTCATTTATAATTAAATTAAAGATGAAACGATCCATAGACACATCGGTGCATTGTGTTAGCAAATTCAAGGTACAGTTCACATATCCCCGTGTTATGGCTTTTCGGACGCTTAGAAGCATTCATAGTTTTCTCTCTGATCACAAGAACAACTGTAAAACATTTCATTCACTTATAAAAGACAACTTTCTCTTAAAAACAAGCCATCATCTGAATATTTACGATGTCTGTGTGATGCTACACCCCCCGTTATAGCGCGAGTAATCGCGATAACCATGGCCGTCCGAAAACGTATGATGTCCGAAAACCTAAGACCCGACGATATATCGATAAGACTCGTTTCACAAATTATGTTGATTATCTTATTAGTCTGTGACTTTGATATAGACTCGTGGACACACTTGCCTTGGTAACATCAGTATGATCACGGACCTATAAAAAATACAAGTCCGTGGTATGATGAACGCGACCTGTCTTGCAGCAGAAAGTGTGAGAAATTTCTTTCTTGAGGATATTTCATCTTAAAATATCCTTGCAACACATGTCACATAGGCCTTTAGCGAATTTTCATAAGTAAGTCACTTAACATACACACATATCTACGCGTGAAGACACAAAAAACCATCATGTAGCTGTCAAGTAACGCCATTTTGATTATAAAGGGAAGTTACTCTCATTTCCGTACCTAAAAGTAGTCTGAGGGTTTAGTGTTCATATATAACATATTCGTGAGTTCGATTACAGGCCATGCTATTATATTCTGAAATTGTGTTTGCTGTATATCCTAACGGGGGAAAATAAATGTGATTCATATAAAGTGTCGTAAATGTTATGTTATTGAAAATAGCAAAATAATATTCGGTCGTTAACCTGATAAATGTTTTATCATATCAAATTCATTGACAAAACACAAGCTGCATTCTACGGCATTCACCGTGACAACGTTGCACTAATCTTCACGTAATTTTGTTCATGAATTAGACAATCATGTAAGTGAATAAGCAACAGATGATCATTTTTGTCAGATTCATATTCAAATAATGGTATTTGGTGGTTACATTGGATTTTCCGCAAAGGGAGACAACTCACGAAATACTTGTGAAACAACTGGATTTTGGTTAATTCTGAGAGGACCTCACGGGGTCATACTTTTCTCCAAGTATTTGAATGAAAACTAAACTTGTAATAGTGCTAATTGTCATGGTAAAATGAAGGTACAAACAAAAAACAATCACCATTTATAACTCGCCAAAACATGTAATTTTAGAGATGAATACTGTAATGTGGTGGTTATATTGTTATATTCATGCAAAGGACTGAGTATTGTACATGCATCCTTGAATCTGTTTACACCAATGTGGTACCCGTCAAGATGATAGGTCTTCAGCAACCCATGCTTGAGGTAAAAGGCGACTATGCTTGTCGTAAGAGGCGACTAACGGCATCGGGTGGTCAGGCTCGCTGACTTGATTGATGCATGTCATCGTACCCCAATTGCGTGGATCGATGCTAATGATGTCAATCACTGGATTGTCGGGTCCAGAGTCGATTATTTACAGAGCGCCGCCATATAGCTGTTATATTGCTGAGTGCGGCGTTAAACAACAAATAAACAAAAAAACAAACAAACAAAACACCAATGTGGAAGTTCAAATCACTCAAATACCAGGGCTGGTCAAAACGTTCTAAGCCTAACAAAAACCAACAATTGTGAAAGTGTTTTTAATTATATTTTTCAACATAATCACCCTGCTTTTCAATTCATTTCTCATAACGATAGTGAAACTTATTAATTCCAGTCAGGAAGTATTTTTCTGAAGCTTTGAGGTCATCGTCGTCATAGTCCTTTCAACAAAGGTGTTCTTTCAGTTTAGGAAACAGGTGGAAATCACTTGGTGCCAGGTCCGGCGAGTGTGGAGGGTGAGGAAGCTCTTCGAATCCACATTGTCGCACAGCATCCTTGACAAGTCGAGGGGTGCGAGAAGAGGCATTGTCGTGAAATAGTAGAACTCAGGCAGTATTCCTCACGCTTTTCTTTGATGGAATCTCTCAGGCGATGAAGCAAATAAGCATAGTAGGCACCGGTAATCGTCTTTTGACTTTCTAAGTAATCAACAAGGATCACACCCTTTGTATCCCAGAATACAGTGGCCATAACTTTTTTCACTGATAGTGAAGACTTGAACTTCTGCCGGAGAAGTGGAATGGTGCCCATTACATGGGTTGACGTTTTGACGGGATCATTGTGGTAGACCCATGTTTCATCACTCGTTACTAATCTCCTTCTGAATTTGACGAAATCCTCCTCAATTAGTTCTAAATTTTCTCAGACAATGTCAGTTCTTTTTTCCTTAAAATCGGAATTTAGAATTACTTTTCTCAAAAGTAAAAAACTTGATAACTGCTCGGAACTCGTTCTTTTCCTTTTCTGTATCCATTTTGATAACTATCATGTTCAACTGGCTGTCTCTTATATACTAACGGCCTCAACAGACCGAAAATACTTGCAATGAACTACTCAAACAATGAACTACATTGACTAGTTCACTTTGTTATGGCTCAAAGTTGAAAGTTAGTCAGACTAAGAACTTTTTGACCAGCCCTCGTAATACGGGAATACTGTTAAAAGCGGCGTTAAACCCAACTGACTCACATGCAGTGGCGCACTATTACTTACTTACTATAATTGCACAGAACCGTTCCATGCGGGCATGAGTTTTGGTTGAGAAGGTGAGTTGGTGAATGAGTGAACCCTCACTGCACGTGGTAAGGTGAGGTAAAATGGCGTTTAACTTCGCGTTCAAGATGATTGCACGTGCGTGCGAGTGTGTATGTGTGTGAGCGTGTGAGGTGTGCGGACTAATGTCGATTTATAATGCGTGGGTGGGCACACTGAAATACCATGCCGCAGTATAACATGAATACCCCTCTCAGATACAATATACTGACCAAGCCGACCAGTCCTTGTTTTAATCCCTTTATGCCGAGCGCCAGACAGGGTAACAACAAGTGCCATCTTTTAACGTATTTTGGTATGACGCAGTCGGGGACCGAACCCCGCACCTTCCGCTCTCCGGGTAGACGCTATAAAACTAGACCGGGCGGTCCCTAGCTGCAGGAAACAACATGTGCTAACAACAAGGATATAATTCTTTATTTACCATAAAAGTAATATTTGAAAAAAACTGTTGGGATACAAATTGTCATGTAAATCAACGTGTAAATATAATAATCATAATATTGTAAATGGAGTTGACAGAGACACGGTACGACGAGGCGGCAACAACAGCACAGAAGCGACAACACTGCAGGAGATACAGATATGGGGTAGCATAGCGCGTTCATACAGAACATCGAAGCGCAGGTTTACATAAATGGAAACAATTAAACACCATTAATAACAAGGCACAATTATACACAAACGTGGAACAATGAATATGTTTTGAATACTGCTGGTTTAACTTTGGGGTCGTGTTATGTTTGGTTTGCTGTTTTACGCCGCACTCAGCAATATTCCAGCTATATGACGGCGGTCTGTAAATAATCGAGTCTCGACCAGACAATCCAGTTATTTACATCATGAACATCAATCCAAGCTATCAACGTGTCAACACCTGGGCCCACTTGCACAAAGCGATCTTAGCGCTAAGATGACCGTAACTCCCATACTTTAACATAGGCTTACAATAGTCTTAGCGCTAAGATCGCTTTGTGCAAGTGGGCCCTGGTGTTATACCTGGTGACATTAACATGTTAATACCCCAACACCCGGTGTCATACTTAGTGACATTAACATATTAATACCCCAACACCCGGTGTCATGGCTGATTTTCAGTGATCCATTCATGTTATTTTGATCACTATTTTGGTTGATGTGGAAGCTGTTTCGGCAGATATTCGAGACACTATTCTCTGGCGTTGACATTTTTTGTATTGCTTGTCTTTTAAAAATAGTTTGTTTCAGTCTTTTCACACTAAAACGACCTGCCAATTTGATGTTCCACAAGGTCTTTTACGACCATATTTGTCCCCCGATTTTAATACGTAAAATATATCCCTGCAGTATCACCCACCACAAGGCAAACGTACACTGCTCATGATGTCAATCACTGGATTGTCTGGTCGAGACACGCATTTTACAGACCAACGTCATATCGCTGGAACATTGGGCGGCGTTAAAGAACCAATGCTTGCTGTAAAAGGCGACTTGGCTTGTCGTAAGAGGCGACTGACGAGATCGCGTGGTCAGGCTCGCTGACTTGGTTGATGCATGTCATCCTATCCCAGGTGCGTGGATCGATGCTCATGATGTCAATCACTGGATTGTCTCGTCCAGACTCGAATACTTTTCAGACCGCAGTCATATAGGTGGAATATAAACAACAAACAAACAAAGTAGGGACGTTGTCAATTCGTTCACAAAACTAACTGATTGACCAAAAGATTAGACTGTCGTTGTGTACGGCTAAGATAATTTGTCAACTAGTCAGCCAGTTTGTTTGTGAACGTGTTTCCGTGCGAACGGGTAGGAGTAAATGTTGATACTGTATGTTGACCTGTATGAAAGTGGAGATGAAGGCACGATGACGCGCGTCACTGGCGTTCTAGGCGAGTTTGATGCTGTATGATCCAATGACGGACCCAAGCTGGTCGGACTCCAGACCAAAGCTCGCCTGTCTCTTCCTCTGGGCTCGGGGGAAGGACGTGGGGGACATCTTGATCGTCTTCCTCCAGGTTTGTCCAGGACGAAGACTCCTGAAGGACACAAATGAGGTGAGGTGAGGTGAGGTGAGGCGAGGCGAGGCGAGGCGAGGCGAGGCGAGGCGAGGTGAGGCGAGGTGAGGTGAGGTGAGGTGAGGTGAGGCGAGGCGAGGCGAGGCGAGGCGAGGCGAGGCGAGGCGAGGTGAGGTGAGGTGAGGTAAGGCGAGGTAATATTTGGTGTGGTCTGGGCTGGTCAGATACATGTTAGTGAGGTGAGGTGAGTTGAGGTGATATTTGGTGAGTTGAGGTGATATTTAGTGAGGTGAGGTGATATTTGGTGAGGTGAGGTGATATTTATTAAGGTGAGGTGATATTTAGTTTGGTGGGGTGAGGTTTGGTCAGATACATGTTGGTTAGGTTAGGTGAGCATGGCATTGTGTGTCCGTATGACTTATTACACACCAGCTTATCATCAGCTTATCATCTACCATAAAGAAGGATTAAACAATTGCAACAATCGTTCAAATGATAAGAAAATATTTTATTGTAACGCTGGCATGAAACGTCTGCATGGGTATGTCAATGTGTCTTACGCAATTTTGATGTTGTCCGTGAAGGGAGCCACCACCTTCATGTTGCCGTCAATCTCCACCTCACAGTTGGTCATCAGGACGGGGAGAGGGTTGGTGAAGGAGAGTTCCACCTGTACTGTCTCCCCGGCTTTAGCAGTGGAGGGACCCTACATAACACACAACATGTGACAGTAAGTATATATATGGACGGGAGAGTTCCACCTGTACTGTCTCCCCGGCTTTAGCAGTGGAGGGACCCTACGTAACCCACAACATGTGACAGTAAGTATATATATGGACGGAAGAGATCCACCTCTACTGTCTCCCCGGCTTTAGCAGTGGAGGGGTCCTACGTAACACACAACATGTGACAGTAAGTATATATTTGGACGGAAGAGTTCCACCTGTACTGTCTCCCCGGCTTTAGCAGTGGAGGGACCCTACATAACACACACCATGTGACAGTAAGTATATATATGGACGGAAGATTTCCACCTGTACTGTCTCCCCGGCTTTAGCAGTGGAGGGACCCTACATAACACACACCATGTGACAGTAAGTATATATATGGACGGGAGAGATCCACCTGTACTGTCTCCCCGGGTTTAGCAGTGGAGGGACCCTACATAACACACAACATGTGACAGTAAGTATATATATGGACGGGAGAGTTCCACCTGTACTGTCTCCCCGGCTTTAGCAGTGGCGGGACCCTACATAACACACAACATGTGACAGTAAGTATATATATGGACGGGAGAGATCCACCTGTACTGTCTCCCCGAGTTTAGCAGTGGAGGGACCCTACATAACACACAACATGTGACAGTAAGTATATATATGGACGGGAGAGTTCCACCTCTACTGTCTCCCCGGCTTTAGCAGTGGAGGGACCCTACATAACACGCAACATGTGACAGTAAGTATATATATGGACGGGAGAGTTCCACCTCTACTGTCTCCCCAGCTTTAGCAGTGGAGGGACCCTACATAACACACAACATGTGACAGTAAGTATATATATGGACGGGAGAGTTCCACCTCTACTGTCTCCCCGGCTTTAGCAGTGGAGGGACCCTACATAACACACAACATGTGACAGTAAGTATATATATGGACGGAAGAGTTCCACCTGTACTGTCTCCCCGGTTTTAGCAGTGGACGGACCCTACATAACACACAACATGTGACAGTAAGTATAAATATGGACGGGAGAGTTCCACCTCTACTGTCTCCCCGGCTTTAGCAGTGGAGGGAACCTACATAACACAGAAAGTGTGACAGTAAGTATATATAGGGACGGGAGAGTTCCACCTGTACTGTCTCCCCGGCTTTAGCAGTGGAGGGACCCTACATAACACAACATGTGACAGTAAGTATATATATGGACGGGAGATTTCCACCTGTACTGTCTCCCCGGCTTTAGCAGTGGAGGGACCCTATATAACACACAACATGTGACAGTAAGTATATATATGGACGGGAGAGTTCCACCTCTACTGTCTCCCCGGCTTTAGCAGTGGAGGGACCCTATATAACACAGAAAGTGTGACAGTAAGTATATATATGGACGGAAGAGTTCCACCTGTACTGTCTCCCCGGCTTTAGGAGTGGAGGGACCCTACATAACACACAACATGTGACAGTAAGTATATATATGGACGGGAGAGATCCACCTGTACTGTCTCCCCGGCTTTAGGAGTGGAGGGACCCTACATAACACACAACATGTGACAGTAAGTATATATATGGACGGGAGAGTTCCACCTGTACTGTCTCCCCGGCTTTAGCAGTGGAGGGACCCTACATAACACACAACATGTGACAGTAAGTATATATATGGACGGGAGAGTTCCACCTCTACTGTCTCCCCGGCTTTAGCAGTGGAGGGACCCTACATAACACAGAACATGTGACAGTAAGTATATATATGGACGGGAGAGTTCCACCTCTACTGTCTCCCCGGCTTTAGCAGTGGAGGGACCCTATATAACACAGAAAGTGTGACAGTAAGTATATATATGGACGGAAGAGTTCCACCTGTACTGTCTCCCCGGCTTTAGGAGTGGAGGGACCCTACATAACACACAACATGTGACAGTAAGTATATATATGGACGGGAGAGATCCACCTGTACTGTCTCCCCGGCTTTAGGAGTGGAGGGACCCTACATAACACACAACATGTGACAGTAAGTATATATATGGACGGGAGAGTTCCACCTGTACTGTCTCCCCGGCTTTAGCAGTGGAGGGACCCTACATAACACACAACATGTGACAGTAAGTATATATATGGACGGGAGAGTTCCATCTCTACTGTCTCCCCGGCTTTAGCAGTGGAGGGACCCTACATAACACACAACATGTGACAGTAAGTATATATATGGACGGGAGAGTTCCACCTCTACTGTCTCCCCGGCTTTAGCAGTGGAGGGACCCTATATAACACACAACATGTGACAGTAAGTATATATACGGACGGGAGAGTTCCACCTGTACTGTCTCCCCCGCTTTAGCAGTGGAGGGACCCTACGTAACACACAACATGTGACAGTAAGTATATATATGGACGGGAGAGTTCCACCTCTACTGTCTCCCCGGCTTTAGCAGTGGAGGGACCCTACATAACACACAACATGTGACAGTAAGTATATATATGGACGGGAGAGTTCCACCTCTACTGTCTCCCCGGCTTTAGCAGTGGAGGGACCCTACGTAACACACAACATGTGACAGTAAGTATATATATGGACGGAAGAGTTCCACCTGTACTGTCTCCCCGGCTTTAGCAGTGGAGGGACCCTACATAACACACAACATGTGACAGTAAGTATATATATGGACGGGAGAGTTCCACCTGTACTGTCTCCCCGGCTTTAGCAGTGGAGGGACCCTACATAACACACAACATGTGACAGTAAGTATATATATGGACGGGAGAGTTCCACCTCTACTGTCTCCCCGGCTTTAGCAGTGGAGGGACCCTACATAACACAGAAAGAGTGACAGTAAGTATATATATGGACGGGAGATTTCCACCTCTACTGTCTCCCCGGCTTTAGCAGTGGATGGACCCTACGTAACACACAACATGTGACAGTAAGTATCTATATGGACGGGAGAGTTCCACCTCTACTGTCTCCCCGGCTTTAGCAGTGGATGGACCCTACGTAACACACAACATGTGACAGTAAGTATATATATGGACGGAAGAGTTCCACCTGTATATCTCCACGGGTTTGGCAGTGGAGGGACCCTACATAACACACACCACGTGACAGTAAGTATATATATGGACGGAAGAGTTCCACCTGTACTGTCTCCACGGGTTTGGCAGTGGAGGGACCCTACATAACACAGAACATGTGACAGTAAGTATTTATATGGACAGGAGCGGGTTAGTGGAGAAGATGTCCAAAATATAGCTCTTGTGAGGATGGAAACACACTTTCTCTTTGTGGAGAGGTGCAAGGGGAATTGTCAATACCTAGTTCAAGTTTATGGGGAAGGTAAATACTGGATCTAACGAGTCAGCTTGAATTACTTTAAATCGTTATATGGGGTATGGGATTCTCCGACGCGTAGACTCGACTGTTCGTGTCACCGGACACCGTCCGATGGGACGATTATTTACAGGCCGCCGTAATATAACTGTAATATTCATGACTGCGTCGTAAAACAGCAAACACAGAAAAATGATCTCATCATTATAATATAGAACATGACTTCCTTCTGAAAGGAGGACAGAGCTGAATGTCTGCATATGGCTGACTCGATGTGTAAACAACACACTCACCTTTATAACAAGGTCGGGTCTTCGTAACCGGAAAGAGGATGTCTCGGTGACGATGTTTCCGGTCTCCTTGACATTCGCGACAGCCTCGATATGGAAGTTGAAACCGTCTCTGGGTCGCATCATTGCTTGCTTGGGCGTCACACTCAAGGTGAAGACACGACCTTAGAAAAACAGATAACCGTTATACGTTACTACAATGTTGCACTACTCTCTCTCGCCTACAATATCTCAGTATAGCCCACGATCTGTGTCTCACGTCCCTACAAAGTTGCACGTACTCTTGCCAGGCTCTAACTTCTCTGTGTACTTCGACTGAGCGGCCGTCCCCGTCACGACACCGTAGTATGTCTTGTAGGCGACCATGACAGACAGGGTGACACTACGGACGGCGGTGCCGTTGTTGGTGGCGTTAACCTTGACGTCAAAGCCGTTGCCGACGGTGATGTCACCTATGTCGTTGATGCCCAACACTAACGTCTACAAGTATACAGGACAAAGATGGTTATTGCTAAACGTTCTGCTTCTGTAATTTTCGTTACATTTAAATTATAATTTGTCACGTGAATTACACATACAAACATGAAATTAAAGGATCAATAATGAGATATTATAGTATTCTCTTTTAACATGTGTTAAATGTATTTTTGAACATGTATAGGGGCAGACAAGCGGTTAAAGCGTTCGTTGGTCACGCCTAAGACCCGGGTTCGATTCCCACATGGATGGAATCTGTTAAGCACATGTTTCTCTCCGCGATAAACTAAAAATGGCGTAAACGCACTCACTCACTCACTCACTCACACGTAACATGTCATGATCAGAAGAGAAAAACGAATTTGATCAAATCCTCAGAATCTAGAACAATTCCTGTTGAACTTACTACGTCATGGGGAAATGTTTGAACTAGCTGACGAATTTTGAAAGTTCCTTTAAGTTGTTACAGTTGAACAAAACGTGGCACATAACCATTAAATCGGCTTCGTTGCATGAGCAGGTTGCTACCATGTTTTAAAGTATATTATTTTATTAGAACATGCATGTTTTTAAAACAAACCTATTTCATGACCATTGGGGACAGTCGGGTTTGAACGGATCTCAGGCAAGCTATGCTTTCGTTAGTGGTGATAGATTATTTACAGACCGCCGTCATATACATGTAGCTTGAACATTGCTGAGTGCGGTGTTAAACAACAAACAAACAAACAAACCTGAAAGAATTGATCGAAAGAATCTGCGAATTGAACCCACGTTTATAGTATCCTGGCATGCATAAGGGACGCAACTCTGTTCACGGAATTGTGGCGCCACAGACGACTGGGCCATCCATGACCCCTACCGCCTAAGATACTTTTGAGGCACAAGGACAAATATCATCTTTTATATTTTGTGTACATATTTAGGTATGAGTGTTGAGAAATACGATGGAATGGGCAGATGAGAAGCGCTGACCTCTGACACTGGAGGTTCTTCCTCGTCCACCTCCAGGTTATCCTTCCTGAACATCGCCTCCGCCTGTCGCACCACTTCCCGCTCTCGGTCCGACCCTGTGAGGAGTACACAGTTAGTCAAGAAACGGCTGGTACCTACTCAACGCAGTCACAGTACAGTAAACTACGGTTATAACGGACTCAAAGGGACTACTAAATTTACTTCGTTATAACCGTAGTTCGTTATAAGCATATATACAGCATAACTACAGCAAAAAGTCGGGACCAAAACGTAAGTTCGTTATATCCGTCAGTTCGCTATAAGCGTGTTCGTTATAACCGTAGTTTACTGTATGTTAATTTGTTTGTTTGTTTGTGTGTTGTTTAACGCCGCACTCAGCAATATTCCAGCTACTAGTATATGAGGGATGTCTGTTAAAATAATCAAAAATGGACCAGACAATCCAGTGAGTGACATGTGCACGAACCTACGCAATTGGGATACGGTGACATGCATCAACCAAGGCAGCGGACCTGACCACCCGATCCCGTTAGTCGCCTCTCATGACAAGCATGGGTTCCTGAGGACCATTCCAAGGCCCTCTATCTATGAAAGCGTTGAATGGGTTTAAGATCAAGGCGTATTGGTAGTAAAGCTTCCGTACTGGAACCGAATAAATTTATTATGCGAACTAAAAGAAAATATCGTATTTGACAGCGGTCGTTAGCGGAATGCGTGCGCAGCCGCTACTGGGAAACTCGGTCAAATACAGCGTAATAACTTCAACTGTATCCGTCAAATGTTATCTGAAAGTCAATATAATATTATTGTATCAGTTCCAGTCAGCCACAGACGAATTCCTTTCTGCTGACATAAACTGAACTGAAGGTTGTGCACTTATATAGCAACGTGCATGCACGTGTGTGTGTGTGTGCATGTGTGTATATTGCTGCTTGTACTAGTCCGGACTTATGCCGGTTGTACAGTGCTAACCCAATGAGAAACCATGCCGCAGTTTAACATGGTTAAACTACCCCACTCAGACACAGTATACTGAGTTCGAGCCGTCCAGTCCTTGTGTAATTCCCTTAATGATGAGCACCAGGCAGGAAAACAACAAGCACCATTATTTCGCGTATGTTTATATGAGCCCCTATCTTACGCTCTCCGGACAGACGCTCTATCTGCAAGACTGTCGTAACTGCTTTCGGGCGTCCAGTGCGACCCTAATACAGTTACTAAATGTATTGCCGTTACTGGTCAATTACGCCATGACATTGCCACTCGCCTTGTCCGCCGCGGCTCGGCTCCGTCAAGGAGTGATTGGTCTAACGACCCTCACTCCAAGTTGTTTCTATCAGCATTCACACACGCATAATAAAGAAACGCAACACCAGTTTATACTCACATAGTTTTACTTACTCTCAGCCCATCTATCAATACACGACAGGATCAGACCGGCCAGACTCGTCCCTCACTGGGGGAAACTTAGAACGATCGGGATTCGACTCATTCGATTGCAAACCGCGCTCTCTTCTCCTAATGTTGAAGGTATCATTTTATAGTGTTCGAGCCTGGCCTGTCCTTGTCACATGTCATAATACCTAATTTTGATTCGTTAAAAGTTAGATCTGACCATGAACTCATGTGTGTCGTAATCGGAAAAATACAGAAGCCGACGTGCCATATTGCTCATCTTTCTATTGATTTTGTGACACGCATCCGGAAGCTCCAAATGAAATATACCTTGAAACTCTCTATTTGTTTCATTAACTAATGGACGATAGCCAGAAACCAATCCAATGATAATTATGAAATGTCCAGAATACACTTGTGATAAACATGATAAATGTGAAATGTCTTTTATCTATTGATTCCTTTCAAACTAAAAGTTATGTCACAAACTATATCTAATGCCACTCCTCATTGCAGCTATAATGGTTTTATTTGTTATCATTTTCTAATGTTTTTTAGATGCATTTTAACCTTATAACAAGACCAAAAGATGTCACAGAAAGGTTTTCTTTTAATCTACAGTATTGGTGACCTTTAACCCCTACCTATTGCGATGGGGTATTATGAATTGCAGCCTGAGTATCATTCGGGTACATGTGGTTTTATGCGTGCCTCGTACGGTGGTGTGACCACATGTACCCCTTGTAATACCACTAGAACGAATTTATCCTACCGAATCTGCCATGGTAAAAGAATTCAAACAAATTAAAAATTGATAGAAAGCAGTTGTTCGATTGAGCTGAGGTTAACTTGTGCTATATCACGTGACTTACATTGACACGGACAAAGCACGCCGCTTTTTGCTTCGAAGCGGGGTATAAGGGATTTTTTCTCCCGCTCATAAATCTACGTGCAGCCCGTCTTGTTCGTGGAGGGGTATAAGGGATTTATTCTTTCGCTCGGAAATTCATTTCCCACCTAGGCGGGATACATAGTATGTTATCAAGATCACATGAACCAATCAGATCTCATCATTCGGACATGGGGATATGATAAATTAGTTTATCAAGATCACATGAACCAATTAGATCTGATCATTCTGACATGGAGGTATTATAAACGTCTTTGCTAGGGACAGTGAACCTACCCTCAGGGTTCTTGTATTGGTCAGTGAGGTCTAGTCGCTGCAGCCCGTCCAGTGGCTCCTGGGTTGGTTCGTGGGTGCTGATCATCTTGCCGACACTGCAGCGAAAACAGAAAAAAACCCATTTGAAAATCTTATAGAGGGTAGAAGTAAATCAGGTAACGGTTGAACGGGTCTTACTGGAACCCTTCCACTACATTCTCATGCCGTCTTCTGTGGTCTAGAAGTAGATCACTTGCTTTGCCTTTGCACGTGTTTGTAACGGGTGCTCACATATTCGCGAACACCTCGTATTTGCTTGGAATTCATAAACACGAGCTTGTGATATCCTCGGAATCGTACAGTGAACTCCACTTTCAGCAACTTATGATAATGGTTTCTTAATATTATGCAAATATTTTTTTCCTTTCATTTACCTGTTCGGATTTCTTGACATTTGTTTCTTTTTCTTGGTCAAGACGTGTTCCTCCCAGACCACCTTGTCCGAGTTGACCTCGGCGAAGACAAAGGCCGTGTCCTGTCCGATGTTGAGGAGCCCCTCCTTGATGGCGCTCACCGGGGTGGGGCCGCAGCAGTAGACGCCTATAAACCAGGGGAAGGGCGTGAGGAAATGTGGACATGGGTAGGGAAGAATGTGCGGATTGTAACCACTGGCCATCATCTAAACCTGATGCCTAACACACCTGTCACCTGTCTATCCTGTCACTTGCTGTCATAGATGTTGTTTTCAACTCATCGATCTTGTTCTACATTCCAAGTTTACCCTCCCATTCATGACATTCTGCCACGTCTACAATATTTCTCCCCGGCCACATCCACCGTTAACGACCCCTGTCTCGGCTACCATCTCTGAACCCCTGAATGTTTCATCTCCGACTCCTGACATACCTACCACATCTGTCCCCTGCCACACCTACCATATCTGACCCCTGCCACACCTACCATATCGGACCCCTGCCACACCTACCATCTCTGACCCCTGTCACACCTACCATCTCTGACCCCTGCCACACCTACTATATCTGACCCCTGCCACACCTACTATATCTGACCCCTGCCACACCTACCATATCTGACCCCTGCCACACCTACTATATCTGACCCCTGTCACACCTACCATCTCTGACCCCTGTCACACCTACTATATCTGACCCCTGCCACACCTATCATCTCTGACCCCTGTCACACCTACTATATCTGACCCCTGCCACACCTACTATATCTGACCCCTGTCACACCTACTATATCTGACCCCTGCCACACCTACCATCTCTGACCCCTGCCACACCTACTATATCTGACCCCTGTCACACCTACTATATCTGACCCCTGCCACACCTACCATCTCTGACCCCTGTCACACCTACTATATCTGACCCCTGCCACACCTACTATATCTGACACCTGTCACACCTACCATCTCTGACCCCTGTCACACCTACCATCTCTGACCCCTGTCACACCTACTATATCTGACCCCTGCCACACCTACCATCTCTGACCCCTGTCACACCTACTATATCTGACCCCTGTCACACCTACTATATCTGACCCCTGCCACACCTACTATATCTGACACCTGTCACACCTACCATCTCTGACCCCTGTCACACCTACCATCTCTGACCCCTGTCACACCTACTATATCTGACCCCTGCCACACCTACCATCTCTGACCCCTGTCACACCTACTATATCTGACCCCTGCCACACCTACCATCTCTGACCCCTGTCACACCTACTATATCTGACCCCTGTCACACCTACCATCTCTGACCCCTGTCACACCTACCATCTCTGACCCCTGTCACACCTACTATATCTGACCCCTGCCACACCTACCATCTCTGACCCCTGTCACACCTACTATATCTGACCCCTGCCACACCTACCATCTCTGACCCCTGTCACACCTACTATATCTGACCCCTGCCACACCTACCATCTCTGACCCCTGTCACACCTACTATATCTGACCCCTGCCGCACCTACCATCTCTGACCCCTGTCACACCTACTATATCTGACCCCTGTCACACCTACTATATCGGACCCCTGCCACACCTACTATATCTGACCCCTGTCACACCTACCATCTCGGACCCCTGTCACACCTACTATATCTGACCCCTGCCACACCTACCATATCGGACCCCTGCCACACCTACCATCTCTGACCCCTGCCACACCTACTATATCTGACCCCTGCCACACCTACCATATCTGACCCCTGCCACACCTACCATATCGGACCCCTGCCACACCTACCATCTCTGACCCCTGTCACACCTACTATATCTGACCCCTGCCACATCTACTATACCTGACCCACCCTTGACACACCTGCCATCTCTGACCCCTGACACACATACCATCTCTGACCCCTGTCACACCTTCTATATCTGACCCCTGCCACACCTACTATACCTGACCCACCCCGACACACCTACCATCTCTGACCCCTCACATACCTACCATCTTTAACCCCTCACACACCTATCATCTCCTACCCCTCACACACCTATCATCTCTAACCCCTGTTACACCTACCATCTCGGAACCCTGACATACCAACTATCTCTGGCCTACACACACCTACCATCTCTGACCCCTGCCACACCTACCATCTCTGACCCCTCACACACCTATCATCTCCTACCCCTCACACACATACCGTCACTAGTCTCCTGGGGCGTCGCATCAATAACCTGCCACCCGTCGAACTTTCTGCCAAGGTCAGGGCGACTCATCCATACCTCGTTCCAGACATGGAAGTTCCTGCCAAAATGATGACACAACATATACATGTAACTGTGTCTTAAAGTCCTTAAAAGAAACATTATTTGTCGATCAACACAACATATACATGTAACTGTGTCTTATTTTTTAAAGTCAAAAGAAACTACATTATAAGTCAGGCCATCATTAAATACTATATTGATTAGTTCAGTTTATAAGATATGCTAGGAGTATATATACGGTATAAGGGGAAAAGGTTCAGGTGATCGATGTGAGGATTGTGAGAATGTGCCGGAAATACCAAACTTAACCCACCTGTTCGTAAAATGGACTTGCCGAGGTCGGATTACAGTCAGGGAGTTATCATTAATAAATTTGGGTAAATATTTTTAAAGCTTGTACATTTTGAAGGATCCCTCTGGGTACATGGGGTTTTATACGTCCCGAGTTAGGTTTTATACCACGAGCCGGAGTGTTATTAAACCCCATGTACCCCGAGGGATCCTGCTGCAACGAATTTATCTTACCGGCATGTTTAAATATGACATTGTAAAAGAATTAAAACAAATTCAAAATTGAAAGAAAACAACTGTTCGATTGAGCTGAGGTTCGCGTGCGCTGTCACGTGACTTTCATTGACTCGCGGCTTTTGCTTGAAGGCGCGGACTTAGGGATTTAAATTGCCTCTCAGAAATGCCTCACTTCCTCGTCCCGGGGTATAAGACATTTATTCCCTCGTTGAGAAATTTATTCCCCCTCCAAGGCGGGATACACAGTATTTTATCAATATCACGTGGACCAATCAGATCTCATCATTCCGACATGGAGGTATGATAAATAATGTTGAAACTTCATATAAGAAATAAACGACTTGTGGTCGTTGTTTATCGTACAATAAAGCACTGCATGGAGTATAAACAACGAGGGGTTGCGCACCTCATGGTTATTACTCCCTGCAGTGTTTTATGTTTACCATAAACAATTCCCACTCGTCGTTTATTTCTTAAATAAAGTCACAGGCCCAATTACAGTACACATACACTACCGAGCAAAGGAAAGTGTACACCAATCTATGATAATGGAAACAAACAATCAAAAGTTAATTGATGGTGATAAATTTGATACGGGTATTATATTTGTGCTTTGGACCTTAAGTTTGCAGCTTTCGGGGACTGTTTTAAGTCTAGTGACGTTTTGATATCGTGTGTAATGTTATTTGCAAAATCAACTTTATAAGTGGATGCTTTCCTTTTCCCAGCCGTTTGTATGCAATGTATATAGCATGGGGGTAAACAAATAACAGTGATACAAATTGCAATACTAAATATAATAGTGAAAAGCGTAGAGTCATAGCTTCTTTGATATGAATATATTTTGTACATTTCTTAAGGTTTCAGTATTTAAAGGCGAGTGAATAAGTGAGTTGGGTTAACGCCGCTTTTAACAGTATTCCAGTTATATCACGGCGTGTCAGCTTAATGTTGGAGGAAAGCCCGAAGTGATGCAGGTCTCAGACGTTTACCACTTTTAGCACGGGTATGGTGCCGACAAACCTAGAAACATAATCGGGGCGAACCAGGATTCGAACCCACAATCATGGGTTTCTGGCGTGCCCAAGGGCGCAACTCTGCACAGCGAATCGCGGCGCCTTAGACGACTGGGCCACCCGTGCCCCCTTATTTTAAGGCGAGAGAAACTGACTAAGGGAATTAACATGTTATACATTAAATTTGAAAATACTTTTGTCTGTAAACGTCATAGTTGTGTATGCCAACATAAAATGGATCTTATCTTCTGCAATAATTTTTCAAGAAAGTGAAAAAATCTTAAGTTGCTAGCAATATCGTCCTCTCGACAGTTAATACTTACCATATGGAGTCATTGGATATATTTATGTAGTTCCCTCTGTTGTTGAGCCGGAAGATCTCGTCACAGCTTAAACGTTCCTTGTCACTGTTGTGAGCTGATTCAAAGTTGGTGACACTCCGACAGGGAAGTCCTAGGGCTCGGCACACTGATGGCACAGTGAGGAGTTTAGTGAAAACATTGCTATGGTAATGATAGTACTAATCAAACTAATGAACTATTATTATAGGGAGATAGTGATACATGTTAGAGCATGTGAGACCGGCAATAATGGCTTCCTAGCACTAACGCTGAGACAACTCACTGACGCGCTTCATATCTAGTGCTAGAGCCACGATGATAGTTGTTTTTATTTGTTGTTCAAAGAATAAATATTTATTAAACAACAAGAAGGAATGTTCCGTCCGATAGTTGAACAACACGTGGGATTGTACCCTTCTGTAGTTAAACAACAAGAAATGTTGTTCACCCTATATTTATACAAGAAGGATTTTTTCCGTCCGATAGTTGAACAACAAGAAGGATTGTTCCGCCCGATAGTTGAACAACAAAAAGGATTGTACCCTCCTATATTTAAACAACAAGAAATGTTGTAACCCTATATTTATACAAGAAGGATTGTTCCGCTCGATAGTTGAACAACAAGAAAGATTGTTCCGTCCGATAGTTGAACAACAAGAAGGATTGTTCCGTCCGATAGTTGAACAACAAGAAGGATTGTTCCGTCCAATAGTTGAACAACAAGAAGGATTGTTCCGTCCGATAGTTGAACAACAAGAAGGATTGTTCCCTCATGCAGTTAAACAAGATAGATTGTTTTTTCTAAACAGCGACACTTACACACACACACACACACACACACACACACACGCACACACACACTCACACGCACACACGCACTTTTAAACAACAATGCTGATTGCCCCCCCCACCCCTCCTGTTAAACAACAATGCTGATTGCCCCCCCCCCCCACCCCCTCCCACCCCCCCACCCCTACTGTTTAACAACAATACTGATTGTTGCCTCTACTGTTAAACAATGATACCGATTGCCCCTCCCTCCCTACTCCCTCTGTTACACAGCAATACTGATTGTTTGCTCTGCTGTTGAACAACAATACTGATCGTTGTTAAACAACAGTGATGATTGTTCCCCCTACTGTTGAACAAGGATACCGATTGCCCCTTTCTTCAAACTCCGTCTGTTAAAAAGCAACACTGATTGTTGCCTCTGCTGTTGAACAACACTACTGATCGTTGTTAAACAACAGTGATGATTGTTCTCCCTTCTGTTAACCAACGATGCTGATTGTTGACCACACCTGTTACGAGGACCCCTGAGAAGACCCAGCACTGTCCGAACTTGACCGGATGTCCGGTGGACATGTACTTCTTCAGGATCTTCACACTTCCCGTCCATGTAGATGGACTGGTGCCGCCGGCGAAGCTGTCGCTCCAGTTGCCTTGAAGAACGCCGTTGTCGTCGGAGGAGTTAACCTGACAAAGACACCCAGAAAGTGTTTTTTCCTCTATCTGTTGCCTAATTTCCTCAAACGAAAGACTGGCAAGGGAATGAGTGAACCTTGTTTTACGCCGCAGTCAGAAATATTTAGGCTGTTTCACGTGGCCTGTGAATAGCCGAGTCTGGCCGGACAGATCAGTGATTGGTAGCAGGCGCACGGTCCACGCTATGCAGTGTAGGAAGCATGGCAATACTACATACAGTCTGTTGAGCGCTACACTGTATAACGTGGGACCTTTTCAGCCGCTGTTTCCAGGCAACTCACAGAAAGGGGCACCAAGCTGTGACTTCACACTATGATCCCATGCGGGGAATAGGACCCTTTTACCAGTACGAGCTACAGCTTAAAAGGGCTACCCTTTTGCTTACAGCTCTTACTTGCATAATGGTGTCAAATCCACATAGAATTTAGGTAACGTGTGATCGGTGTGTGGACTTACAATCTTTGACAGAATTCTGGCAACCTTGCTCGCCTTCCCCATGGTGCGCGTCATCTTGTAGTCGAAGCCTTTCCTGACGAGGTGGAGAGCGGCGTGCAGGATGCCGTCCTCAAACTGACAAATGGTCGACAGAGATAATGATGATGGTAATGATAACAACAGACATAATAATAGTATGATGATGATGATGGTGATGATGGTGATGATGATGATGATGGTAATCCACTGAGATACCGCTCGACACTGAAAATATTCAAAGTTCATGACTTTTCAGAAAATATGTCAGCTGCTATATTGTAACGCAACAAATACCACGCAAATGAAGTGGCTTTTCTCTCATTTAGAATTAGTTTTCTTTCAACTTAATATTGAATTGTTCTCAATAAAATGTAGCAAAGTAAAAGAAAATGTTCAAAGCATAATTTTTAAAAGATAGCCCTCACCAGAATATAGAAAATAAGCGTTAGAATGATGAAGCACTCTTCTGACCTGGCCGAAGTACCAGCTACTGCCTCCCATCCTATCGAAGGTCCCATAGTACAACACCCCCGAGTCGTTCTCCACCGCCTCCTCCAGCCACTGGGGGTCAGGGAGGTACACCACATCCTCTGTACGGACAGGTCAAGTTAGTGAGTGATTGTTATTTTACGCCACACCAATATCTCACCAAATTGTATGGGCTAACAATTATCAGGTGTGATCATGACAAACAGTGGTTGATGTGAGCATGGTCAACGATTCCGCAGTCACTCACTCATTGATATAGCTGGCCAATATTCCCTGTCATGGCCGAGGAAAAGGATGGTTGATTTTATTATGCTTCATGTAGTTTGGCTGGGATAATTTACAAATATAGTATAAGGGGCTATATTCGATGAAAACAAATACGTTGAGACACAGAAAACGTACAAAACAGATGTTGAAATACTGGACGAACCATATCATTCTAAATGTGATTCACAACGTCATAACTCATCAATATTCCAGCGATATGACGGGGGTCTGTAAATAATCAAATCTGAGCCAGACAATCCAGTGATTGTCATGCTTCAACTATGTAAGCGATAACAGCGTCTGTCCGTCCTCCCTCTTTAGCTTTACATGGCGTATTTAACACTGACTGACTGACTGACTGACTGACTGACTGACTGACTCACTCACTCACACAGCCCTTTAGTGTCAATGGAGCTTCGTCAGCATCAGTGATGCAAAGGTCAGCTACAGTATAGCTATTGATGACATTCTTCAAGTCTACCAGCATCTATACTGACCTATTGGCGTGGCGAGATATTGTTACAGTTATATTATGCTAACGGAGGATGTCAAAGCGGTACAATCCGCTCAACACCGGAAGTAATTCAGACTAAACGACCAGGATAGTTACTTTTCCTGGAGTGACATTTCATTCAGCCTTGTCAGCATATTTTCCGACATTAATAAAACACATGTAACTACAAAAACCTTTATAAGAACTGTATCTAAAATTAGATGATAATGAAAGGCAATATGTTTGTTTCTAGCCATGTTGTAGTCACGGGGCAAAGGTTATAAAGAAGAGTATATAAATGTCAACAGCATCGACGGGTATTTGTAACCGGTATGTGGAGCCATTTTGTTATTATCAGGTGATCAATTTGGAATATAAACATCACTATGTAATAGTAAGTGAGTGAGTGAGTTGTGTTTAATACCGCTGTTGGACACTAATCCAGTTATATCGAGGTGCGTCAGCTTAATGTGGGAGGAAAGCCCGAAGTGCAGGTCTCAGACCAATCTCATTAAAATCAGATCTAAGTTCTCGCTGCCGCTAAACAAAGATCTGAGGACATCCCATTACGGGTCAAGTCAGAACGACCTTTCGCGAACCTTGACCTTCCACTGAAACGACTAACAAGAAGTCGACATCTGCCAATTAGAAAGCAGCTTTCTCGAATTTTACGACACTCGTTGCAACCGACTTCCATTTCAGAATACGCTTGAAAAATATATTGACAAAGTTCTCGATTAAAATTTTGAAAACTTAACAAACGAACATTCCGGAATGTCTTATATATCGTTGCGATTGTATGGCAATGCTTCCCGCGTACTGTGCAACGCCTCCCCCGTTCAAATGTTCATCCCATCGAAGCGACAGATAAAGACTAATTTTGAAGGTATCATTCGTACGGGCCGTAACTGTCGTTCGGAATACACCGTGTTAACGTTTTCGAGGTTGCATGATTAGAAAACATATTCTCGACTGTCAATTTCATGATCTGGTAAGCGACGCTTTGATTGGTCGGATGTAAGGTCGTTCTGACGTGACCCGTAATGGGATGTCCTCAGATGTTTGTTTAGCGATAGCGAGTACTAAGATCTGATTTGAATGAGATTGGTCTCAAACGTTTACCACTTTGTTGAAACACTCAAGTATCAGGGGTATGGAGCTGACAAAACTTAATAAATTTGTTAATGTGTGTGTGTTTCAGTGTATACGCATTTTCTCACCTTTACACCAAGGATTGAAGATGATGATGATGTCGTCGTTGTGGTTGTACTGCCAGACGAGGTCTTTGCCGTTCTCGACGTCAACGGTGGTCCTGACAATCAAGTCCCACACACCGACAGGGGTAGAGGCGGGTGAAAAGACTTCTACCGTCAGAAAGTTATCTCCCTTCTTGGCGATGGTGGCGCCCCATCTCCGTGGCTTGTAAGACGTGTCTTTGTCCTCTGCTACCCTGATGGTCTCATTGACAGAGCTGTTACTCTCGTCAGACGCTGCAGGAATAACGTGATGGGGAAGCTCATAACGACACGAGTAGCAACAATCTCGACCAATATCAAAACAACCTACCCATATGCGAAATCGAACCGCCATCCTTTAGACTATTCAAACATCCAAACCATACTGATAGAAACGAATAAGGGAATAATGAAAAATATCGGGAAATAAGCTTTACTAGTAGTGTCAGTACATTTGAAATAGTGCTTACCAATTCAACACATCATAATGTCAAAGTTTGAGATGTGTTTGTGTGCATTGTTTCCAACGTTAATTTGGTAGACACGGCTTGAACCTATGATATAGCATATCATTTTTCTGTATCTAAAACTAAGTGTTCCCTTATTAATTTCAATCAGTATATAAGTCTACCCCATAATCGACATACGTTAGTATGCTTAGAGGAAACGTGTTTGGGAACATTTGACTATCATATCCTTCAACTTGGACTTGAACAGGTCTTGATCTGAAGCTGCCAACCTCTGTTGGTAAGCGGGATTCGGGGATCTTTTAGAAGGTATTTGGGACTGAGCAGTGTGAGGTACAAGAACGTATAGCTTCTGTATCTGCCAAGGTAGAAGGTTTTTGAACATGAAAGAACATATAGCTTTCTGTATCTGCCTTCGTTGCCGAAATGGACTTTTTACAGTTTACAATTCGATGCTCAAGTCAGTTGGAGCTCTGCAGTCAAGTGAAACCGGTAATCCAAAATTATTTTTGGAACGCAGATACAAAGTTATTGAGAAACTAATGGTCAACAGTTTCTTCAAATAATGGATTTACTTCTATATTTATTAATCTGTCACACTCTGTTCTGTTCGAACCCAACTGAATGAGCGATTCGTATCTTATACCTTAGTATCAGCAAGTAGACATGTGGGATAGAAACTCAGAGTAGTATACACAGTACGCATTCGCAGCAGCAAGCAGGTGTATTGCTTACAGTCCATGGGTCATAATCGGAACCAGCAGAACAACCGAGTCCTGGCAGCTAAGGCGCGCGCACTCTTGACAACTCTTCACAACGTACTGCGATTCCTTGCTAACACCTGGCTAGACGTGTACATATATTTGTTGTAAGTGCGGATATGTGTGAAACAGACATACCTAAACTGAATAAGAGCGTGATGTCGTTCTTGTCGATGTCGTAAGGCCTGTCGAAAGTGATGGTGATGAGGAAGGATTGACCTCTCCTGACCACCAGCTCTGCCTGCTTTTGACCTCTGACCTCTGTGCACTCATACATGTCAGTGTGGTGCTGCTTGGTGTTCTCCGATATGTTAAGGTCAAGGTTGGTCACGTGCAGCCTCGCTGCCAGATCAGTCTCTGGCACTTCTTGCTGTTCATTTTCATTTTCATCGCTGTCTGTTTCAGAAACATGGAATGGAAACATGGAATACTAATTATTGTTTTGGCTGTCATTAAAATATCAAGAAACAATATATTTACGCTTTGAGCGCGCCTGCACTTATCGTGGATGTCTTTGAAAACGGTAGAAACATTCAAAGCAGAATTAGGGGCTGGCCGTTTTTTGATAATTGGGGAGGTGTCACCGTGTCATTAATATACCCTTGTCACGGTCTAGTGGCCGCACAGCTCCCTCCCTTTATTTCGACCACCGCTCGGCAAATTCTGGCGGTCGTCGTTGTACAGTGTCATTGCATTCATGGCAAGAGAATACTAACCCGACTATTTCATTCTCTTGTGATTTAAAGGCACACTCTCATATCATACCATGTATTGACTTGATGTTTATTACCTCCTATATGTTGGCTACCTTATTCATGTATGGAAAATGATTTTTTGTAACTTTGATTTTCAAACATTTTAGTTTAATTTATATGTACACTCAGATATTTTAAGATCATTTTTGTCTGCTCAATAATTGTACATATCTTTAATGATACCACAGGAAAGCCTATGTTCAGCGCTTTCTGTCGATAGTTGAAGGTATTATAAGTGACAGAATAATCATTCTGCCTGGAAACCTACAACATATATTTTACAGGACACCCAGTATTTTCGAGAGCAAATTAGTTTTGTACCAGGCCCATCCCTCACTACCAGACCCGTGAAGGTCCTGGGGTAGAAAAGGTCTTCAGCAACCCATGGTTGCCGTTAAAAGCGACTATGCTTGTTGTTAGAGGCGACTAACGGGATCGGGTGGTCAGGCTCGCTGACTTGGTTGATGCATGTTATCGTATCCCAATTGCTCATGATGTCAATTACTGGATTCTCTGGTCCAGAGTCGATTATTTACAGACCGCCATCATATAACTGTAATATTGCAGAGTGCGGCGTTAAACAGCAAACCAAACCAAATAAACAAACCACACCATCACCACCCTAACTATCAAATGATCAGGCCATTGCTGCTTGGTGTTCTCCGATATGTTAAGGTCAAGGTTGGTCACGTGCAGTTTCGCGGCCAGATCAGTCTCTGGCTGTTCATTTTCATCATGTTTCAGAAACATTGAATGGTATACCAATTATTGTTTTGGTTTTCATTAGAAAAACTATCACCCTATCTATCAAATGGTCGGGCTCTGGTGGCCTGGCGTACACCAGGAGCTTTAACCTTGATGGTTTTAGTCATTGGATTGACAATATAATGCTTAAGGGCACTTTAGACCATAAAATGTGCTGACAGCACAGCTTTAAAATACCAGCCACACAAACACTAGACATGCGTGGGGTGGGTGGTATTTACAAGTGGAATTAATTGGGGTTTGATAACAGCTCTTCTGACCTGAGCCATCATTGCGGGTGCCAATGGTTTCACTCGCCCTCAGATTTTCCCTGCGCCAGTTCCGGAAGCGACTGTCGAGATCCCCAACCGTGGGCCGCGTCCGGCGGTGGGAGTACCATGGCCGACTGAATCGCCTACGCACTGGCCCGGGCCGGAAATAACGGTGTCGGCTTAACCCATTACTGAAAAAAAGGTCAACCTTCAGCTTTATTCGGAACATCCTATAGGTTCATGGGTTTGAGATAAACGTACAGTGAAACTCCGTTAATCCGGACGGTAATGTTAACCGTGCAACATCGGGATTAAGGAATTTCGGATTAAAGAGTGAGTGAGGGTGATTTGTGTTTACTTTCAACAGTATTCCAATCATGGCATGGTGTTTCAGTTTAATGTGGAAGGAAAGCCTGAAGTCATCCAGCTTTGGTGAAACCCACGAGCACGGCATGGTCCCGACAAACCCAGAAACATAATCAGGGCGAACAGGGTTTGCATGAAGAATCTTTATTACTGACTAATGACCCCTGAGGTATGTAGAAGTTTCCCATGTGTTTGTTTAGGAAGCTTGGTTTCTCGAACGAATATGGCTTCATTGATTAAACGTCTACGTCAAATACGGGACAGTTTCTTAATTGTTAAAACATTGCTTCGGGTGCTTGGCGGCTCTGTAACACAGATTGACCGGAACTGAACCGAGGGTCATCGCCACCTTGCGGAGCACTGTATAAAACGCAGTGTTCTGTGACTGATAAGAGTGAGAAATTGAACTACCAAGGCCTCGTATAACATCATTATCATATTTAAATACTTCTTTCATTTGAAATCACGCAGAGCCCGGCCTATTTCGCTAATTCTCCAACCTCATTCAAATCAGATCTTAGTTCTCCCTATCGCTTAACAAAGAACTGAGGACATCCCATTACGGGTCACGCCAGAACGACCTTTCATCCAACCAATCAGAGCGTCGCTTACCAGATCATGAAAGTGACACATGGAATGTGTTTTCTAATCACGCAACCTCGAAATATTTAAGAGAGGGTATTCCGAAACGACAGGTTTCATGATTATATCCATACAATATAGGCCATCTATAAGCTATTCCAGAATGTTCTTTTTATCAGTTTTAAAATATTTAATCGAGAATAGGTCAAGAAATGTTTTAGCGGTAGCGAACCCAAAGATCTGATTTTTATGAGATTGCTTATTTTCTGACCTTGCACCTTCAAACTAGCGATATGCAGACATTCAAAAACCTTCTGATACAGCGCTTTAATGTAAAACAACATCCAGCTCTGAAAGCTCAGAACTTGCTACTTCGTCTTATTCCTGTGCTATTACCCAGGGGTATAAGGCGCAGTGCAGTTGCGGCCCTTAGGAATGTCTGGATTCGCTAGATTCACCCTAATTATGATTTTTTGTATGACAGCGCCATGCCAATGTTCGTTTGAAAAGGGACAACCTCCGATAATGTGCCGCAGATGAAAAGCCGTAATATAACTGAAATACTGTTTTTATAATGGAGGCCTTTAACAAGGCAAGGTCATCAGGCGTTTAAAATTACGTCTTTGGGCGTTGGCTGTGAAATACTGCACCACGCAGCAGGGGCGTAATCCCAACTGTTTGTACTTCGGATTTTCAATATCTTCCCATATTTTACACCCTTCCTTTAAACTGAAAGTATAAATTACCTTAAACTGAAGTTCCGGATGTTTCGGGAACGTGTAAACATCGTCCTTGGCGGCGTGGATTTAGGCTGACGTAGCTATCTGGAGTGACGCTGTTCCTGGGACGCTCTTAACAGCGCGCCTAGTTCTGCAAGGTCATCAAAACAGTACAGTGGAGATTTATACTACATGTTTATCGACATTTTGTTTACCTTGCATTTAATCTGACAAACCTCCCCTCTTGTGTTATTACGTCCATAAATCGTGTTCTCCTAAGAATTCAATTCAAGAGATTCAAGACCCCGTCCCTGTCTCATTGCCTCTATCTGACAGCCATGTCGCCAGTGACGGGGCGAATGGGTTCACGTCAACCGTACATGATCTTGTGAAAATGAAATCCATACATAGTCCATACTGAACATGTTTGTACATTGACGTCAAAATGAAGGATAAGGGCAAATGAAATCGACATGCCTTTTACATGAATTAATATTGACATAGTCACAGTTATGAACACGTATAGCTACGCAAACTTAAACCTTAATCTGTCAGAGTTTGTTTGTTTTAGATTATAGTTACAATACGTCTACGGATATAGTTCTTAGTGTTTCTCGACCCTCATATAAACTGCCGGGCATAGGAGGCATACACCTATATTAGATGGTGGTTAAAAATGAAGCAAACAAGAAATGGTTACTGGTATTCGATGCTCGTGTGTTTGGTACGGGTATCATAGTTGTGTTTGGGATGTTAAGTTAGCTGTGTTTCGGTGATGTTTTCAGCCTAGTAACGTTTTGAAGACGGTTGTAATTATTTGGTCAAATCCAATTTTCAAGTAGTGTGTACTTTCTTTTGCCAGGCAGTTTATTTGAAACATCTGTTAGTTATTTACAGAACATTCGTGCATTTACAGAAAATTCGCCGCTTGTTAAATCAATATAAATTTTACTTTAACTTCCAAGTTACCGCATTGTCCCATGTATTGTATGGCGGTTGTTGTTCAAGATTTGGTTAAGCGATCTCGATCAAGTGAGTGAATGTTAAAACAAGGTATCTCAGATCTTACTGCGTTATGCCAGTACACGGTATCAATCAGAGAAACCGGTGATTGATTGTGTGAACACATGAGAGTTTGTTCCCCACCCTACCCACACTCAGCAGCCATTGTAACCATCCGATACCCAGTCCGTCCCAACCCTGCCTCACAACTGATTTAATATCCTTCTTAAAAGGAAATACACCCCTCGCCCCTATCAAGAAAACATGTTCCTTAAATGAAAACTGAATATCTTTTCGCCAAAATTCAAATATATAAAAATGAGGCAAATGTTCATCACTCGGTATACATGTAATATATAATAAAATAATAAAGTCCACGTTAGATGGATTATATATAACATGTACATCTTATGATTATATATATATATTGAATATGCATCGTTTCTATAATCCAATCATATGAACATTTTCATTCCATCATCGTCAGGCATACCACGAGTGTCATAAAATGATGATTACCTGAATGTTTGTTGTAGTCCTGTTGTATATATCTTCACGAGGACACATTTAGAGTACAACATGAAACAGTCCTTCAAATGCCGCAATAACCCAGCCTGTCCTATTGTGTGGTTGTATGTATAGAGCTAAATCAAATACTGGTCAAGATCTAGCGACACCTGATAACAGATGAAGTGAAAAACAAATACCGCCCACAAGAAGACGTTCTGATTGGTTAAAGTAGGTGTTCTACAAATACCACAGATGTTCTGACCTGTTTAAAGTCGGAAGTTCTGCAATTATCACAGATGTTCTGACTGGATAAAAGAAGGTGTTCTACAGATACAACATGTTCTAACAAGACTGAGTTAAAAGTTGGTGTACTGCAAGTACCAAAGATGTTTTCATCGGTTTAAAGTCGGTGTTATACAGATACCACATGTTCTAACCAGTTAAACGTTGGTGTTCTGCAAATACCACAGATGTTCACATCGGTTTAAATTAGGGTGATGTACAAATACCACCCCCACACAGATGTTCTGATCGGTTTAAAGTAGGCGATCTACAGATACCACATGGTCTAACCAGTTAAAAGTTGGTGTTCTGCAAATACCAAAGATGTTTTCATCGGTTTAAAGTCGGTATTATACAAATATAGCCAACACTCAGATGTTCTTAAAGTTTAAAGTAGGTGTTTTACAGATACCACATGTTCTAACCAGTTAAACGTTGGTGTTCTGCAAATACCACATATGTTCACATCGGTTTAAAGTCGGTGTTACACAAATACTACATGTTCCGACCGGTTTAAGTAGGCGATCTACAAACAAATATGTTTTGACTGTTTTAAAGTCGGTGCTTTACAAATGTCACATATTTTCTGATCGCTTTAAAGTAGGTGTTCTACAAATACCACGGATGTTATGATCGGTTTAAATAAGGGTGATGTACAAATACCACCCCCACACAGATGTTCTGATCGGTTTAAAGTTATAATGTAATACAAATACCGCAGATAGCACAGGTCCGTGATAATGAGTAAACAAAATCCGTTATCTCCGTATGTAGGCGATTTCTGCCCCACACTCCGTCCCTGGGAAACGCCAAGCCCGACAAGGCGCGGCCTACTATAATAATATATTCAGGTCAAGACATAGGCGTGGTTACAGCTTTCTGGAACATGAGGGGTGGATTGGCAACTACAGTAATCGTGTAATCGAGTTTTACCCAAATTTGTCATGGTGATACTATAGCTTGACCGTTTGTATTTGGGATTATCTATCATTTTTTTCGAAAGTACAAACATTTAGTGAGGCGTGAGGAGCATCCCTGCACCCTCCCTCTGAATCCGCGAATGAGAACATTGTGCATCTGATGCAAGTGATGGAACTAGCTTACCTTATACTGCTGATGCTGTGCAATCTCCTTCACAGCGACACGTGCAGCAGGCAGCCCTATTCAGGAGGCAGACAGTGCGGCTGTGAAACCTACACACGCCTACTTGATGCTGTGTTGACACGCTCAGCCAATAGTAGCACTCCGAGTGGGACGTATCGTTACCCAATACACAGACCTACCCAGTAGCGGGGGTAGGGACAAAGGGGGTCGCGAGGGAGTGAACTGAACGGGGATAACTATAAATAAAATCTTATTTTGAAGTTTAAGGGATTTCCGGAGAAATGAATATTCGCTGCTCACATGTCACGTTCATTTTTCAACAAACTTCGAAAAGTGACATATACGAAGTATTTACTTAACCGTTAGACGTTTACAAGATTTGTGATCGGAACTTCTTTTCATAGGAACTCCCCAGGTTGAACATTTCCCTGTTGTCGCCCTTGCTTGTCACGGTCTTTAGGACCAGCAATATTGGACATTATATTAACATTTCGTTTTCACTTAAGGTTTCATTTGACACTTATTTACATATTGGCGTTACCCCTGGATGCCCCAGGGACTAGTATGCCCCTACTCTTCTACCCTCACTTTGAAGTCAAATACATAATTATTAAGAACTGACATTCACTTAGTGTGGGTTCAGTGGAGTATGAACCGTCGAAGAGAGAGGGCCAAACTGGATTAACGTCAGAGCTTGTTCATGCACGTTCTAACACAGCGAAGCTGAATTCTTATAATTCATCTTTGGAAGTGCTACAGCACACATACCTCAACAATCAGTCAACATTGTTTCATGTTCATACGAGTACACAGCCGACTTCTAACGACTTCCTGTTTACATATCCACTCACCTTACCAAAGTAGTTCCATTTAAATAGATTCAATAAATAAACAGAACGCAGTTTTAGCCTTTAATAAAGTTTAATACTTTGCAACATTTCATAAACTGCAGTTCACAAAACTTTAATCTTTTAACAAACACTGGTGAAACTGTAAAGCTGTTTAGCAGTGAAATCACCCACTTATGCAGTTCAGCAAGTACAGTAAAGGACGGTTATAACGAACTCAAAGGGACTACTAATTTTAGTTCGTTATAACCGTAGTTCGTTATAAGCATATATACAGTATAACTACAGCAAATAGTCGGGACCAAAAAAGTAAGTTCGTTTTATCCGTCAGTTCGTTATAAGCGTGTTCGTTATAACCGTAGTTTACTGTACTTTGTAAATCCTGAGAGCGGTAGGGACTGAATTTGTGTCGCCAGTCTACTGTTCACCGGCAAAGTTGAAGTGGCAGTTGTGAACACTACTTCTGGGCATAAAGTTCCCGGATGAAGAGGCCACCTGTGACGACAGGTTTTGAAACATTGGCAAATACGGAGCTGAATACCGCCTGAATGCACCATCGCCTTCTGACGGCGGGCTTGAAACCGTCGCAGATGGCTTTCTTCAGATCCAGTTTTCCGAAGTACAGAACTAACTTGGTAGTGTTGGTCAGAAGTACAACTTCTGTTGTAGATTCTGACACTTGCCTTGTTCCTGTGCCCTGACAAACACGACGTGGTGTATGATAAGGTATGGGCGTTACGATCACCTTAGCGCTAAAATCGCTTTGTACAACAGTATCCAGGTCAGCGTGCTTCATAAATGGTATGGGCAGCATAACGTAATGGGCTGCCGTGGTAGAAGGGGATGGCGATAAATACGAACTGTACACTTGAAAGTCTCACGTCATTAAACTTTCCGAATCTCTTTATGGGAATCGAACAACGAACCTTCTGATGCGAGGTCGGCCGCCTCGTCTACATGGCCAAAGAGCCAACTGACAAGGTACAGATATCATCTATAGGATGACTCAACGCTTTGTAACATACAGGAGACACGCCCCTGGCTGCGTAGCAGGGTACCGCCACCCCGTCAACAGTAGGCACGTCCCTGGCAGGATACTGCGACTCCGTCAACAGAAGGCACGTCCCTGGCAGGATACTGCGACTCCGTCAACAGAAGGCACGTCCTTGGCTGTGTGGAATGGTACTGTGACCTCGTCAACTGAGGCACGTCCCTGGCAGGATACTGCGACTCCGTCAACAGAAGGCACGTCCCTGGCAGTGTACTGCGACTCCGTCAACAGAAGGCACGTCCCTGGCAGGATACTGCGACTCCGTCAACAGAAGGCACGTCCCTGGCAGGATACTGCGACTCCGTCAACAGAAGGCACGTCCCTGGCAGTGTACTGCGACTCCGTCAACAGAAGGCACGTCCCTGGCAGGATACTGCGACTCCGTCAACAGAAGGCACGTCCCTGGCTGTGTGGAATGGTACTGTGACCTCGTCAACTGAGGCACGTCCCTGGCAGGATACTGCGACTCCGTCAACAGAAGGCACGTCCCTGGCAGTGTACTGCGACTCCGTCAACAGAAGGCACGTCCCTGGCAGGATACTGCGACTCCGTCAACAGAAGGCACGTCCCTGGCTGTGTACTGCGACTCCGTCAACAGAAGGCACGTCCCTGGCAGGATACTGCGACTCCGTCAACAGAAGGCACGTCCCTGGCAGGATACTGCGACTCCGTCAACAGAAGGCACGTCCTTGGCTGCGTAGGAGGGTAGTGCGACCCTGTCAACAGAAGGCACGTCCTTGGCTACGTAGGAGGATAGTGCCACTCTGTCAACAGAAGGCACGTCCCTGGCAGTGTACTGCGACTCTGTCACGTCCTTGGCTGCGTAGGAGGGTAGTGCGACCCTGTCAACAGAAGGCACGTCCTTGGCTACGTAGGAGGGTAGTGCGACCTCGTCAACAGAAGGCACGTCCTTGGCTACGTGGGAGGGTAGTGCGACCCTGTCAACAGAAGGCACGTCCCTGGCTACGTAGGAGGGTAGTGCGACCCTGTCAACAGAAGGCACGTCTCTGGCTACGTAGGAGGGTACTGCGACCTCGTCAACAGAAGGCACGTCTCTGGCTACGTAGGAGGGTACTGCGACCCTGTCAACAGAAGGCACGTCCCTGGGTGCGTAGCAGGGTGCTGTGACCCTGTCAACAGAAGGCACGTCTCTGGCTTCGTTGCAAGTACCGCGACATATTTTGCACAGTTAGGCTAGGAAGCTGCACATCACCCGAAATATGTTAGTACATTGTAGATGTAAACCCCACAGTTGGGCAGATACAAGGAGTGAGTAAGTATTGTTTTTGGCCGCTTTTAGCAATATTCCAGCTTTTAGCAATATTCCAGCAATATCACGGCGGGGAACACCAGAAATGGGCTTCACACATTGTACCCATGTCGGGAATCGAACCCGGGTCTTCGGCGTGACGAGCGAACGCTTTAACCACTAGACTACCCGACCGTCCCGCTAATACAAGGAAGATTCCTATCAGACATAAGCTTGTGACATCATAGTTGCATGTCACATCTTTTACGTTAATTAATGATACGTAGATCCATACATAAATGCAAATAAAAACTTACAACTTTATGGATAGCATTTTCTTGTTTATTGCATTAAGCGATCAGATTCTTACATCTTACAACCACGGGTAATGGATAACAAGGAGCACGCGGATAACAGGACGACTCCAGCTGTGAAGTAAGAATAACAACAAGCACACAGGTACAAAGACAGATATACAGTGAGGAATAAGAGGTTGATCAAGCCGATTGGACACTAATTAAAGTAGTTGAAGACGCTGAGTGGATACTTATTAAAAAGAATCTATTGTTTGAGTAGATCTTCAAAGGCAGAAGAGATGTACATTGCACATCTGTTGATCAAAGGTTTGTGACGGCGGATTTCTATGGCTTTCAAGAGTATTGATGTTTGGTAGAGAGGATTTACTTTGGCTGTTGAGGTTTTATGTTCTTTGAAGCGGGTATCTACTGGGCGGGAGGTTTCACCACTGTACGAGGCGCCGAAGTCACAATCTGTCACTACTTTTTTGGTCTGCTTGTTGGAGGGAGGGTTACGGAAATTAGCTTGGAACTTAGTTTGGTATGGGGTGGTGAGAGAATCGAATTACCTATCTTCCGCTCTCCGGGGAGACGCTCGATATCCACCAGACCATGGGGCCATAACCACAATTAGGGAGATGCATAGGAGACTGATTGTACGCCAGTAGGTATTCTGGGTTAGAATGGGTCACCAGCAGCGAATCGTGGACAGGAGACTTTGTCGACTGGGTGGTCAGCCTACGTGACTTGGTTGATGGATGTCATCGCATCCCAACTGCATAGATAAATGCTCATGATGTCAGTCATTTGGTCTGGTCCAGACACGATTATTTACATACCGCCGTCATACACCCGGAATCTTGCTCAGTGTCACGTTAAATAACACACGCACGCACGCACGCACGCACGCACGCACGCACGCACGCACGCACGCACACTGACTGTACATGAGGCTGAAGTCTCCTGCATGTGTTTAAAACGCACCCGACGCATCCTGTTTTCCACCCGGATCTAGACATCTAGAAATGTAATCAATGCGCTGTCTTTTGAGCCCGGGTGTAAGAAGACACTCGCCCACGCTACCCGGATCTGTACAGTAAACGAATCTGTAACCACAAGGTGTTAACTGGTATCATCAAAACCGGATATTGAAACATAACTAATAAATTAGCCCAAAAGGTTAAACTTATGCAAGTACCAAATACTGTTATCACGGCAAATAATTGTCAAAGAGGTCTGATATATTTTAGATCAATATTACAATACAATACAATACAATACAATACAATACAATATTGTTATTTCACTTTGACTTTTTTGAAATTATAAATTTTGAACACCGATGATTTTGAAACGAAGTCCGTAAACCAAGTATAATAAAAAAAAATAAAGGCATAAATTATATGTATACGAAAACATAATTGACCTAGATAATAACTTGTAACACAGGTACAAATCTTTTCCCCGACACATTAGATAGACATTTTGAATACATACCGACAGATTGATTGTGCTACTCCTGTGAGTTTTTATCATACGAAACACTATTATAACTTCATAATCAATGCAAACAAACGTGAGTTAAAACAACGATATAATGAGTTTGTGTGTATTTTACGAACGCTTCTAGCTAAGATTGATTTTGCACTCTATGGACAGAGCTCGTCTTCAGATGAGCTGTGAGGCCTTCAAGCAGGCAGTATTCAGGTGATTAAAGGATAAGGCAACTTTAGACGAGGCGAACTTTGTACATTCCGACCACATCCTCAACCTGATCACACGACAAGATGATATTGATTGCTCTCATGGGATTATCCTTCGGGGATTTCGCCATCTTCAGCAGCATGTCTGTGGACCACGTCTTCCCAGCGCCGATTTTCCTATACAGAAGCAAAGATCCACATGAAATCATTATCGCAAGGCTCATGCTGACGGGTCTTTTATACTTAACTATCACTGAATCAATAAAGTTCATTAATATTCTATGAAATTAGAATGAGAAACCACCAGCATATGTCAGGGGTGTATCTCATATATTTGTTCTTCAAGAATATGTTCCAAATAGCTTGTTATTTCATTTTGTAATCAGTGTAACCTACATATGGTGCAATGCAGTACTACGACTGATTTTGGCAACAGAATCATCACCTCCACTTAGTTTAACCTATAGTTGGTTGTGAACTCAGAAGTTACCATACAGTTTGTTGTGAACACTGAACTCACCCAAGAGTTAGTTGTGAATACTTACTTACCCTATAACTAGTTGTGAACACTGAACTTACCCTAGAGTTGGTTGTGAACACTGAAGTTACCATACAGTTTGTTGTGAACACTGAACTCACCCAAGAGTTAGTTGTGAATACTTACCCAAAAACTAGTTGTGAACACTGAACTTACCCTATAGTTGGTTGTAAACACTGAAGTTACCATACAGTTTGTTGTGAACACTGAACTCACCCAAGAGTTAGTTGTGAACACTGAAGTTACCCTACAACTATTTGTGAATACTGAGCTTACCCTATAGTCATCTCCTGCTGGCTCTCGTCCACACACTTCATGTTGCCCTCGACGCCCAGCTTGCAGTTTGTCAACGGTTTCCGCAGAGTGTTGTTAAAGGATACCTTCACAGTGACCTGGCCCTCTTTCTTACACTTCTCGGGACCCTGGAAGCATTGTATGACATTGTAGGGAAGAATCATTTGCATAATAAGTAACTGTGTTAAGTATCCCCTTAAGGAAGAAGCCATCGATCGGGGTGTATATGCGGTTGCAGTCATCAGTGGGATATGTTAAGAGACAGAGAGATTATCTCGGGGACATGACACTTGGTACTGAGATCCTCACGGGGACATAAGACATGGTACATAGATCGTCATGGCGACATGGTACGTGGTACTGAGATCGTCACGGGGGCAAAACACGTGGTACAGAGATCATCACGGGGACATGGCACGTGCTACAGGAACCATCACGGGGACATGATACGTGGTACTGAGATCCTCACGGGGACATAAGACATGGTACATAGATCGTCATGGCGACATGGTACGTGGTACTGAGATCGTCATGGGGGCAATACACGTGGTACAGAGATCATCACGGGGACATGAGACGTGGTACAGAGATCATCAAGGGGACATGAGACGTGGTACGGGGGTCATCACGGGGACATGAGACGTGGTAAGGAGATCACCACGGGGACATGAGACGTGGTACAGGGATCATCACGGGGACATAATAGGTGGTACAGGGATCATCAAGGGGACATCAGATGTGGTACAGAGATCATCATGGTGACTTGAGACGTGGTACGGAGATCATCAAGGGGACATGAGACGTGGTACGGGGGTCATCACGGGGACATGAGACGTGGTACGGGCATCACCACGGAAACATGAGACGTGGTACAGGGATCATCACGGAAACATGAGACGTGGTACAGGGATCATCACGGGGACACGAGACGTGGTACGGGGATCATCACGGCGACATGAGACGTGGTACAGAGGTCCTCACGGGGACATGAGACGTGGTAAGGAGATCACCACGGGGACATGAAACGTGGTACAGAGATCATCACGGGGACATGAGACGTGGTACAGAGATCATCACGGGGACATGAGACGTGGTACGGGGATCATCACTTGGACATGAGACGTGGTACGAAGATCACCGCGGGGACATGAGACGTGGTACAGGGATCATCACGGGGACATGATAGGTGGTGCAGGGATCATCAAGGGGACATGAGACGTGGTACGGTGATCATCACGGGGACATGAGACGTGGTACAGAGATCATCATGGTGACATGAGACGTGGTACGGAGATCATCAAGGGGACATGAGACGTGGTACGGGGGTCATCACGGGGACATGAGACGTGGTGCGGGGATCATCACGGGGACATGAGACGTTGTACGGGGGTCATCACGGGGACATGAGACGTGGTACAGAGCCCATCACGGGGATATGACAATTTGAACAGACATCATCGCTGGGACATGGTTATCTGAAAAGAGATCAAACCCGGGACACAACATGTGGTACAGGGATCATCACGGGGCATGGTACGAGATCATCATGGCTTAAGACACCACAATTCACTCTGCGGAGATGGGTAGAAAACCCCTGCTGTGATCCGCTGAACGTGAATGCATCTGGGAGATTAAGGGTGTCTCAGTTGTCTCAAAGAAATCAAGACTTACTACGAGTTTCTTAGTTAGGACTTTATCTATTACAGTATCATTTCCCTACCGTTATCTCCAGTGGCGGATTGCGCACAGAAATACATTTTGATGTCTTCAAGGTGTTCTCGGATTCTTTGACGTTCGCCACGGCCTTGCACTCATAAGTGGATCCTCTGTTTGGCTTATCAAGGTCTAACATGGTATCAACCTTCACGGTGATCACCTTCACTGTAATAATAATAATAATAATAATAATAATAATAATAATAATAATAATAATAATGATGATGATGATGATGATGATGATATTATTATTATTATTATAATAATAATAATAATAATAATAATAATAATAATAATAATAATAATAATAATAATAATAATAATATTTTACAGGGTGTCTTACAGATATTGTGCCATCATACTGCGCATCCAATGACATTATTTACATGGAGCAGAAAGGAGCCAGAAAGGGAGGTTGGGGTTGTAAACTACTAGTTCAGAAAACGATACTTGAAGAGGCTAAAACTTACCACCGTAACCTCTCAATGTGTTGGATAGACTACAGAAAAGCTGATTCTGTACCTCACGAATGGAATTTGAGGTCACTGGAATGTATTGACCTCCCCGAGCGACTACTTGTTTTACTCAAGGCTTTAATGAATTGCTGGTCAACTCAACTTGAGACGTATTCGCAGGGGCAGGTGGTGACTTCGGAACCCCTTTCTATTAGAAGAGGAATATTTCAGGGCGATTCTTTTAGCCCTTTGCTTTTCTGTTTGTCACTAAACGCTTTGAGCTTTTTGCTCAGCAAGGAGGAAGGTTATCACCCGGGACCTCCACTTATTGCCAATGGAGGATCTACTCTCAAAAAAAAGATTATGCTTGTCGAGTCCTTTTCTAATGATATCGGCATGTCCTGGATTCGACAAATGCAATATTCTTCAATTGAAACGTGGCAAGGTAGAAGAGGGAGGATCAGTCAGTTTATTTGGGGGAGAGGTTATTGACCATCTCGTGGAAGGTCAGGCCTATACATACTGAGGGATGCAGGTTAGGGACAAACTCCAGAATGCCCATATCAAGGACAAACTTCGAGTACAAATGTAGACTTTAGAAAATCTGGTGTTCAGAGCTGAACGCTCGCAACAAAGTCAAATCCACAAATACTTATGCTGTGCCCGCCCTTTCGTATTCTGTTGGTGGTGTTGATAGGACGAAACAAGGAACTCAGGGTATTGACACCTTCACACGAAGACTCATGTCCGACAATAGATCCCACCACCCTCGCTCCCCCCTCAATCGCTTATATTTACCAATTATGATGAAGCATGTCAAGACTCATGATGAAAACATGAGGTCCATCCATGGAACGACTATGAATATGTTGAGGGCGTCATGGAAAATGATAAATACATTTATCATGTGGTGTCTGCAAAGGTGTCTGCATTCACTATCCAATTCACCCTGGTATCCACAAACTACATGTACTTGAAAACGTTTCAGTGAACAGCTGCGCCCTGTACCTAAAAAACTACGAGGCCTTCGAAGTATGATTGTGCCACTTTGTTATCATAGTGGTATATTTTTTAAATCGAATTTTCGATTATTGTTCTCGTTATTTCAATTATTTATTTATTTTCGAAATTTTGCCTGTTTACTCGTTATTTCGAATATTCAGAACACTGTATTGAAATATCGAGTTTTCGTGTAATTCTCACAATTTACATTATTTTCTCGTAATCTACATTATTTTCGCGTTCATTCAATTATTTATTTATTTTGGAAATTTCGAACAGTTTTGTCGTTAATGCTTTAACGTTATGTTTTCGTAATTTCAATTTTGTATTAAAAGGAACGATTTTTTTCTCTTTACTTTTTATTCTCGACACACACTAATTAGAAAATACAAGGAAATAACTGAAACAACGAGAAAAATAAAAGAAATTCGATTATTTTTTTAACCAATGTAGCATCATTTAAGCTTTCGTATAACTTAAATAAACTGCACTTAAACTCAAGGTAATAGTCCTTACCATCGCCAACGTTCATGACGGTGTCGGCAATTTTCTTTTCAGCTACAGTCGCCAACGTTTCGCCGGTGTAGTCAATATTATTTGCCTTCAGGAAGACGTTAACTGTGCGAGCCATGGCGCCGGTGTTCCTCACAGTCAACTTTAACTCAAACTCAGAACCCAAGAGCACGGTTTCCTCTGTCGCGTCCAGTGTTAGTTCAATAGCCTATAAAAGTCAACGAATCACATAATTATTCTTATGTTGTGAAACATTAAATTTTAAACGTGAACCCAATCCTTCCTAATACCTCCATGTAGACCAACAACGTAAAGTATGGAATAAAATCATAAAGTGTTTATTTGGAAACGGTTGGTACCTCCACCGTCTTCAACCTTATCACTTCCTTACATCTACCGGTGGGGTTCCCCTCCATCCTTACTCCTACTGGTGGTGTTCCCCTCCACCCTTACCTCTACTAGTGGTGGTTCCCCTCCATCCTTACCCTTACTGGTGGTGTTCCCCTCCATCCTTACCTCTACTGGTGGTGTTCCCCTCCATCCTTACACTTACTGGTGGTGTTCCACTCCATCTTTACCTCTACTGGTGGTGTTCCCCTCCATCCTTACACTTACTGGTGGTGTTCCCCACCATCCTTACACTTACTGGTGGTGTTCCCCTCCATCCTTACCTATACTGGTGGTGTTCCCCTCCATCCTTACCCTTACTGGTGGTGTTCCCCTCCATCCTTCCCTCTACTGGTGGTGTTCCACTCCATTCTTACCTCTACTGGTGGTGTTCCCCTCCATCCTTACATTTACTGGTGGTGTTCCCCTCCATCCTGACCGCTACTGGTGGTGTTCCCCTCCATCCTTAATTCTACTGGTGGTGTTCCCCTCCATCCTTACCTCTACCGGTGGTGTTTCCCTCGATCCTTACCACTACTGGTGGTGTTCCCCTCCATCCTTATTCCTACTGGTGGTGTTCCCCTCCATCCTTACCTCTACTGGTGGTGTTCCCCTCCATCCTTACACTTACTGGTGGTGTTCCACTCCATCCTTACCTCTACTGGTGGTGTTCCCCTCCATCCCTACCTCTACTGGTGGTGTTCCACTCCATCCTTACCTATACTGGTGATGTTCCCCTCCATCCTTACACTTACTGGTGGTGTTCCACTCCATCTTTACCTCTACTGGTGGTGTTCCCCTCCATCCTTACACTTACTGGTGGTGTTCCCCACCATCCTTACACTTACTGGTGGTGTTCCACTCCATCCTTACCTATACTGGTGATGTTCCCCTCCATCCTTACACTTACTGGTGGTGTTCCACTCCATCTTTACCTCTACTGGTGGTGTTCCCCTCCATCCCTACCTCTACTGGTGGTGTTCCACTCCATCCTTACCTATACTGGTGATGTTCCCCTCCATCCTTACACTTACTGGTGGTGTTCCCCCTTCGTCATTACCTCTACTGGTGGTGTTCCCCCTCCATCCTTACCTCTACTGGTGGTGTTCCCCTCCATCCTTACCTCTACTGGTGGTGTTCCCCTCCATCCTTACCTCTACTAGTGGTGTTCCTCTCCATCCTTACCGCTACTGGTGGTGTTCCCCTCCATCCCTACCTCCACAATTACCTCTACTGGTGGGGTTCCCCTCCATCCTTACACTTACTGGTGGTGTTCCCCTCCATCCTTACCTCTACTGGTGGTGTTCCGCTCCATCCTTACCTCTACTGGTGGTGTTCCCCTCCATCCTTACACTTACTGGTGGTGTTCCACTCCATCCTTACCTATACTGGTGGTGTTCCCCTCCATCCTTACACTTACTGGTGGTGTTCCCCCTTCGTCATTACCTCTACTGGTGGTGTTCCCCTCCATCCTTACTTCTACTGGTGGTGTTCCCCTCCATCCTTACCGCTACTGGTGGTGTTCCCCTCCATCCTTACCTCTACTGCTAGTGTTTGTTCCTCTCCATCCTTACCTCTATTGGTGTCGGCTCCTCCCCCTCTTCTCCATCAAAGTTGGCCAACCTAAACGTCCGCTCCGCCCGCCGGACTGCGGCACGCTCTTCTTTGGAACCTGGAATTAGTTCCATATCAAGATATCACTCAGTTCAACCTATGATAACTGCATACTTGTACTCTCTGTTAGGATACATGTACTCACTCTTAGGATGCTTGAATAAACTCCTAGTATGCATGTATAAATCTTATCCGATACTCTTGTCCGCATCAGCTGGATAACTGTACGTTTTCTCTGTATATTATATTTATAGCCTCATATCTCTATTTATATCTGGGGGCACGGGTGGCCCAGTCGTCTGAGGCGCCGCGATTCGCTGTGCAGAGTTGCGTCCCTTGGGCACGCTAGAAACCTATGATTGTGGGTTCGAATCCCGGTTCGCCCCGATTATGTTTCTAGGTTTGTCAGCACCATACCCGTGCTCGTGGGTTTCACCGAAGTGGTAAACGTCTGAGACCTGCATCACTTCGGGCTTTCCTCCCACATTAAGCTGACACGCCGCGATATAACTGGAATATTGTTAAAAGCGGCGTAAAACCCAACTCACTCACTCACTATTTATATCTATCTTCCTATAAAATAATAAAATCGATATTAATATACTGACACTTTAGATAGATACATGTACATCGACCTAAGTCTGACGTACCTTCCTCATACTTGTACTCTCTCGTGATGTCAAGTCTTTCTTTTTCTTTTTCGTCCTCATTGTACGGCTCGCCGGTAGGCGCGTGGGTACTGATGAACTTGCCAACACTGGAAGGTATCGTGTTAGATGATATAGCCTCATTGGTACTTATATACTTGCCAACACTGGAAGGTATCGTGTCAGGTGATATAGCCTCATTGGTACTGATATACTTGCCAACACTGGAAGGTATCGTGTTAGGTGATATAGCCTCATTGGTACTGGTATACTTGCCAACACTGGAAGGTATCGTGTTAGGTGATATAGCCTCATTGGTACTATATAACTTAAGGGTATAGCTTAAGGGTATTGATACACCTGCCATCACTGGAAGGTTATATGTTACATGGTATAGCATAAATAGTAGTTTTACACCTGCCATCACTGGAACGTAATATGTTACATGGTATAGCACACATGGCATTGATACACTTGTCATCACTGGAAGGTAATATGTTACATTGTATAGCATAAATAGTAGTGATAGACTTGCCATCACTGAAAGGTAATATATTACATGGTATGGCATAAATAGCACTGATAGACTTGCCATCACTGGAAGGTGATATGTTACATGGTATAGCATAAATAGTAGTGATACACTTGCCATCACTGGAAGACATGTTAGCCTAAAGGGTATTAGCCTATTGTGTATTGATACACTTGTCATCAGTGGAAGAAGCTATGTTATATGGTAGGGCCTAATGGGTATTGATACACCTGCCGTAACTGGAAGGTTATATGTTACATGGTATAGCCCAAAGAATATTTATACACTTGCCGCAGTATCCCATTACATTATAATTATCCCGTTATAACACACCATGCCTCCATCTGCGAGCCACATTAATTTGAAGATGACCCAGGTCAAGACCCTATATTACGTACGCGTTTCTGACCCTGGACAGTTGTATGAAGTTTTTTTTCTTCGGGTCCACCAGCCACTCAACTTTGTCCCCGTTCACCTCGGCAAAGACGAATGCGGTGTCGAGGCCGACATTGACGTGACCCTCCTTCACTGCGATGACGGGGCAAGGCCCGCACTGATACGAGCCTGGGGAGGGTAGAATCGATCACTTTCATGTTCAGTCAATGTCCGGCGTACCTACATAATATTTACTTCGAAACATGTGGAGTGCCGGTACATCAGGTTATTGACGTTGCATTTTTATTTTAAAGGCTTTTTTGAATATTTCAACAGGATTGACTTTTGTGTCATTATCTGTTAGTTGTTTTCCTACCGTTAAGACATTGCAAATGACAATACGATGATCTTCTCGTTACTGTACTATCTATATGTATAGTATACTACATTACTTAGATACGTAAACATGTTACTTGTTTATTCAGCGACCGAAAACATATCCTGTCTCTAACAAAAATCCCTCCCGGGCCCCGAATATCAATTAATGGGACGGTCTCTTCATGTCGCCATGGCTACAGCGCAGGTATGCACCCACCGTCACTTTCCTCCTGAGGGGTGGCGTCTATGACCTGCCAGCCGTCGTACACCAAACCTCCCCCCTCGCTGTCTGTCAGGTCCGGCCGACTCATCCACGCCTCGTTCCACACATGGAAATTCCTGGAATAACAGGTTTGGTTCCTCCCATATCATCAATCATTGTACGATACGACCAGGGCCAAGCAGTATTCCGACCACAGTACCGATCATTATATGATAAATATATTGCAACCAAGTAATTCTGTGGCATTTGATTGGGTATGAAGACGCAATTCTATTGCGTTTAAGTTACCATGAAACGATAACTTTAGGCCACGCCCACTGACGGACTACTGTTACCTGATTGGCTGATAGAAGAATGTGCGGGGCTTGTGTTTCATTATTTTTCTGATTGATGTCACTGATTTCATACCCTTGTCTACAGGTTTGTTTGTGTAAATAATTAAATGAGCTACCCGACTCGTGAAGATCCTGGTAAGGAACAGTTTTTAGCAACCCATGCTTGTAGTAAGAGACGACTAACGGGATCGTAGGTCAGGCTCGCTGACTTGGTTGATGCATATCATCGTATCCCAATTGCGTAGATCGACGCTCATGTTGTCAATCACTGGATTTTCTGGTCCAGATTCGATTATTTTCATTAAAAAAACCAATACCCACTTCACTTGTCTTTCTTGAAAGCTGTTTTTGTGTGAACACAGCTGGAATAATAATCTGTCGGTAAGATCATTATAACAAAATTCTGCATGATCATAATCCTTATTAAAGTTCTGTTATTAATAAGAGTTATGTGATCAAACTTTCGTCTTTGTACATATTCTCGATTATGCCTACCACACGGAGTCTATTTTTTCCTCTTCCAATTCTCCATTTGGCAACTTGTAGTTGTACGTGTCACAGCTCAGGTGCTCCTTGTCAGTGTTGTGGGCCGACTTAAAGTTGGTGACACTGCGACAAGGGATGCCCAGCGCCCGACACACTGTAGGTAGAGATTCATCAGTAATGACAAGATACATGAAACATGTTGTCCCATTGTAGAGAGCACCCCTAAAACCCCGACTGAAAAGGATCTCATCATCTTGTCGTTTTATTATAGTAAAACACTCCTACAATCCCCGACTGAAAAAGATCTCATCATCTTGCTGTTTCAGTGTTGCAAAACACTCCTAGAATCCCCGACTGAAAATGATCTCATCATCTTTCGTTTTATTATAGTAAAACACTCCTACAATCCCCGACTGAAAAAGATCTTATCATCTTGCTGTTTCAGTGTTGTAAAACACCCCTAGAATCCCCGACTGAAAATGATCTCATCATCTTGTCGTTTTATTATAGTAAAACACTCCTACAATCCCCGACTGAAAAAGATCTCATCATCTTGCTGTTTCTGTGTCGTAAAACACCCCTAGAATCCCAAACAGAAAATGATCTCATCATCTTGTCGTTTTATTATAGTAAATCACTCCTACAATCCCCGACTGAAAAAGATCTCATCATCTTGCTGTTTCTGTGAAGTAAAACACCCCTAGAATCCCAAACAGAAAATGATCTCATCATCTTGTCGTTTTATTATAGTAAATCACTCCTACAATCCCTGACTGAAAAAGATCTCATCATCTTGCTGTTTCTGTGTCGTAAAACACCCCTAGAATCCCCGACTGAAAATGATCTTATCATCTTGCTGTTTCAGTGTTGTAAAACACCCCTAGAATCCCCGACTGAAAATGATCTCATCATCTTGTCGTTTTATTATAGTAAAACACTCCTACAATCCCCGACTGAAAAAGATCTTATCATCTTGCTGTTTCAGTGTAGTAAACCACCCATAGAATCCCCGACTGACAATGATCTCATCATCTTGTCGTTTTATTATAGTAAAACACTCCTACAATTCCCGACTGAAAAAGATCTTATTATCTTGCTGTTTCAGTGTTGTAAAACACCCATAGAATCCCCGACTGAAAATGATCTCATCATCTTGTCGTTTTATTATAATAAACCACTCCTACAATCCCCGACTGAAAACGATCTTATCATCTTGCTGTTTCAGTGTAGTAAACCACCCATAGAATCCCCGACTGAAAATGATCTCATCATCTTGTCGTTTTATTATAATAAAACACTCCTACAATTCCCGACTGAAAAAGATCTTATCATCTTGCATTTTTATTGTTGTAAATCACCCATTGAATCCCCGACTAAAACACACCACTTATTATCTTGCTGTTTTATTGTAGTAAAACATGCTTAGCATCCCCGATTGAAAAAGACCGAGAATCTTGCTGTTTTATTGTAGTAAAACACCCCTAAAATACCCGACTGAACAAAACACTCCATTATCACCTTGATGCTTTATTATATTATGTCATGATGCCGAGACCAAACTGTGCCACCTCACAACATTACTATTTTTTGTAGTGAAGCATCGTTACTGAAAAAGTCCTCATTCCCATCTTTCTTCACTGTAAGAAATTTCCTGTCAACAACAGTACCCGATAATCACTGCTATGAACCATCCGTAAAATATCCCCTGTCACACAAAGTGGTCGTAGCGCTACGATTATCTTAAGGCTATGGTAAACCATGGTCGCAGCGATAAGATGACTTTGGTGAATGGGTAACTCATATACAGCATCTGTTTTTAAACAGTTGTTTTACCTGTAGTGAGAACACAAGAGTACACCCAGCACTGCCCATACTTCACTGGTTTGGTTGTTGTCATGTACTGCTTGAGAATCTTCACACTCCCGCTCCAGGTGGAGGGTGCGGTACCACCGAAATAGTAACCCGACCAGTTGCCCACCAACACCCCGGCGTCGTCTATAGAGTTCACCTGCAACACAATGAAGATGTAAGCGCAAGCGCAGCTCACACTACCAGATAACCCTGCAAAGAGGACATTGTTCTCTTTGTGTGTACACAATCCTTCATTGCGAGCAGGTGCGCGAGTATAGGGTGTGTTAGTTCATTGGCTTTCAGACACTACTTACAATCTTGGAGAGGGCACGTGTGACTCTCACAATGCTTCCCAGGGCTGGCGAAGCATCAAACTTGAAGGCTTTCCGCAGTAGATGGAGAGACGCCTCGAGTACCTGGTCTTCAAACTGAAACCGAGAAGGTTATTATTGTTGTTGAGTTTGTTTAACGCCGCACACTATTCGACCGCATCCTTGGTCTAGTGGTAGCGCGTCCGCCCGGAGAGCGGAAGGTCGTGGGTTCGATCCCCGGCCGCGTCATACCAAAATGCCGCTGTCTGACGCTCGACATTAAGGACTGGTCAGCTCGAAGTAAGTATAAAGTGTCTGAGTCGGGTATGCATGTTAAAATGCGGTCATGGTATCTCAGTGGGCTAGCACTATAAATCGGCATCAGTCAGGACTAGTACAAACAGCCACACACACACACACACACACAAATATGCATGTACGTTGCTATATAAGTGCAATAATCTTGGACTCGACGTTAAACCCTATTTCACCTGACCTCCGTCTCACCGCGCAATAGTCCAGCTATGTGACGACAGCCTAAACATAAGACCGGACAATCCTGTGATTAAGACGATGAGGAACGATCCACACCGTCGGGGTACGATGATCCGCGACGAACCGAGCTTCCCCGCCCGATTCATTATGTCGCCACATGGGTTGCTGGGCATCTATTATAACCGGAAGTCCCCATGGGGCTGGGATATTTGAAATATAAAAGCTCAGGAATAAACATCTGGAGAAAGACGCTTGAGAAGTGACATGAGCTGCCATACACATCATCTACATGTATAAAGTGAGGTCAAACATCATGCATCCTCAGAATCTATCTTCTTTCCAAGTCATCGAATTTTTGCAAAAAATGTATCACCTTATAGAACTACGTAAAAAACAATATGGCGAATTAATGGTATTAGACACTTATAATTTTTTTGGACCGATTCCGTGGTCTAGTGGTAGAGCGTCCGCCCGGAGAGCGGAAGGTCCGGGGTTCGATCCCTGGGCGCGTCATACCAAAAGACGTTAAAAGATGGAACTTGTTGTTACCATGTCTGGCGCTCGGCATTAAGGGGCTAAAACAAGGACTGGTCGGCTCGGAGTCAGTATACTGTGTCTGAGTGGGTTATTCATGTTAAACTGCGGCATGGTATCTCAGTGAGCTGTTCGGCATCAGTCCGGACTAGTACAAGCAGCCACACAAACACACACACGTACATGCACGTCGCATATATAAGTGCAATAATCTTGGACGCGACGTTAAACCCCATTTCACCTCACCTATAATTTTATTGATGTAGCTCAACATCTCAAGAATGATATTGTGTTTGTAAGTTGTTGATTGTTTTGCTTAATTTATTTTTCTTACATTCAGTTAAAATCAAATATTTAATAACATAGTGCTGCTCTACATCGGGGTTACACTATTGAAGCTGGGTTGATTTTCACTGCACTACGAATAATTACATTTCACTTTTTGTACCCGGGTGAGAATATGTCTTCGGCAACTCATGCTTCTCGAAAGAGGCGACAGACGGGATCGGGTGGTCAGGCTCGTTGGCTTGGTTGATGCATGTCATCGTATCACAATTGTGTAGATCGTTGCTCATGTTGTCAATCACTGATTTTCTGGTGCAGATTCGATTATTTACAGACCGCCGTCATATAGCTGAAATATTGCTGAGTGCGGTCTTTTAACAACAAACAACGTATAATTACATTGCAAATAGTTTGAATGCAGAAATGTAAAAAGTCAATATAAACTCAAGGACATAAGACACGTCACCTTGTAAATTTACAAAGTCACAAATTGTTGTATTTTAAACATGGACATTTTACTATATGTTTGCATAAACACTGACAAATCAAGCGGAAGAAATTAATTTCATGGACATGTTTCCCGAAGAAGTGTGAGTCTCCAATATTCGATCACCAATGAAAAAGCGCCGCCACTTTCAAAATGTTAGAAAAAGCAACTACCCAGTCAATATCGAGTGTGTCACCCCTCAGCTTCGATGCAGGCTCTGACACGACAGCGATCGCGACCAGAGGAAATCAGTCGTCTTATGGCATGCACAGGGATCAGACGCCATGTTGCCTGCAATGCCTGTGCTAACGCCACTCTTGTTTCTGGACGTGGCTGACGTTGCCTAATCTGTCGTCCAAAGTGGTCCCACGATGTTCTATTGGAGACATGGCAGGAGATCTTGCCGGCCAAGGAAGACGGTTCACGTTGTTGGCGTTGAAAAATGCTCTGGTAATGCGGGCTGTACGAGGCGTTGCGTTATATTGTTGGAATAACGTTTGCGGGTGACGCCAGTTGTACTGCCATTAACACTTCATTGATGTAGCGTGCAGCGGTAAGATTGTCATCAATAACATCCAGATCCGTCTTCATGTCTCCACAAATCCCATCCAAGACCATCACACTGCCACCATCGTATGGTTCAATTTCCTGCACGCAACAAGGTGCCGTCCGTTCCCCTGGCCGCCGATAAAAACGCACCTGCATTTGCTTTGAAGATTCGGAACCTGCTCTCATCGCTAAACAGTACTCTGCTCCAAATTATCTGCTGCCATCGCTCGACATTCCTCGCCCACCTCATTCTCTGAAGTCGATTATGACGCGTTAACGTCATGCCCTTGAACGGTCGGTAGTCTCTCAGACCACCGTGCTGATGGGATGACCAAGAGCATGTCGTCCCGATGATGTCACTGTGAGGTATCTGTTCCTAAGGTGAAGCAGCCGTAAATGGCGGTTTTCCGGAGGGGAGGTAACTCTGGGTCTTCCGCTCCTAGGCCTGTCTGCTGTTCCATCTGTCTGCCTTGGCCGGCTGACTAACCTCAGTGTCGTCCTTCTCGAACAACCCATTACCCCAGCAACATGGGCCTGGGTTGTCCCCATATCCAACATTCCCATTGCCCTTTCTCTCTGTTCCAATGTTAATCGAGGCATGACCACTTTTGGCAACTGAATGTGCAAATGCCAAAGAAGATTTTCGCACCCCTTTTATACTAGATTTGCATACGGGAATGTATTCCAGGGTTATTCCTTTATTTCCGAGCAATAAGGGCATTTTGCGCATGTCAGTGATAGGAATGAATAAGTTGTGTTTAGGCGATACGTTTTAATCTATATTAAAAGGTATTTTGACATTTGTTGAAAATATATCGAAAAAAATAGTTGAGGTGACGTTTCTTATGTCCTTGAGTTTAGTCTCCTTCAATGTGCGAGTTGGAAATATGAGTGAGTGAGTATGGTTTAACGCCGCTTTTAGCAATATTCCAGCAATATCACGGCGGGGGACACCAGAAATGGGCTTCACACATTGTACCCATGTCGGGAATCGAACCTGGGTCTTCGGCGTGACGAGCGAACGCTTTAACCACTAGGCTACCCGGCCGCCCCATTGGAAATATGAACATCAAAATTATAGCTGAACTCACTTGTCCAAAATACCAAGGACGGGGTTGTATGTACATTGAGAAACCACGATAGACACACCCCGAGTCATTCAGTACAGCCTCTTTGAGCCAGTCTTTGTCAGCCATGTAAACGAGGTCCTCTGAAACATCAGTGGTAATGTTAGTTTCAGTGTCTTCAGTACGGTATGCATATATTTGCCTCAGAAGGTGAAGATTCGCTCACATCTCGTCTAGTTATCAGGACGATTAGTATACCCGTATAAATTTACTGGTGGGCAAAAGAAAATATACACTTGAAAAGTCTATACGAACATTCTGTATGCGATTCGTTGAACATGTATGTAACAAACGTATGATCTCTAGTCGCAGTTCTGATGTTGAGTTTTCGCACTGCCAAGCTACAGGGCAAAAAATACACGTGAAAATTGAACGTGACCAGAACATCAAAATGTTACAAGGCTGAAACGTGACGCCAAAACACTGCAAACCTGATGTCCAACACAACGATGATACCCGTATCAAATACATCACTACGGAAAAAAATATTTCTGTTTTGTTTCATTTTTAGCCATCATCAAACATTCCTGTGTGCAGTTTTTTGTATGGATGTTTAGTTACTCTTGGCGGATCACGATAACGTTTGTTTTCAATTGTCATCATTTAAAGCCGAAAAACTAGAATCAAATGGTAGCGAACTGCACAACAGTATACATTTCATTGGTCCCTGTGCCATTTTATTTCCGCCTATTGCTCGTTTGACCAGAAACGTAATTCTTAAGCCTTGGTTAAGGCGTGTTTCATATGACTGTTCCTACACACTTATCTTTACACGGAGGGTTGGGTATTGTTTGATATGCTTTTACACCAGGGGTTGAGGCATATTTCATATGACTGTTCCAACATACGTATCTTTACATGCAGTGTTGGGTATTGTTTGATATGCCTCTACACCAGGGGTTGAGGCGTATTTCATATGACAGTTCCTACATACGTATCTTTACATGCAGTGTTGGGTATTTTTTGATATGCCTCTACACCAGGGGTTGAGGCATATTTCATATGACAGTTCCTACATACGTATCTTTACATGCAGTGTTGGGTATTGTTTGATATGCCTCTACACCAGGGGTTGAGGCGTACTTCATATGACAGTTCCTACATACGTATCTTTACATGCAGTGTTGGGTATTGTTTGATATGCCTCTACACCAGGGGTTGAGGCATATTTCATATGACAGTTCCTACATACGTATCTTTACATGCAGTGTTGGGTATTGTTTGATATGCCTCTACACCAGGGGTTGAGGCGTACTTCATATGACAGTTCCTACATACGTATCTTTACATGCAGTGTTGGGTATTGTTTGATATGCCTCTACACCAGGGGTTGAGGCATATTTCATATGACAGTTCCTACATACGTATCTTTACATGCAGTGTTGGGTATTGTTTGATATGCCTCTACACCAGGGGTTGAGGCGTATTTCATATGACTGTTCCTACACACGTATCTTTACATGCGGGGTTGGGTATTGTTTGATATGCCTTTACACCAGGGGTTGAGGCGTATTTCATATGACTGTTCCTACACACGTATCTTTACATGCGGGGTTGGGTATTGTTTGATATGCCTTTACACCAGGGGTTGAGGCATTTTTCATATGACTGTTCCTACATACGTATCTTTACATGCAGTGTTGGATATTGTTTGATATGCCTCTACACCAGGGGTTGAGGCATTTTTCATATGACTGTTCCTACATACGTATCTTTACATGCAGTGTTGGATATTGTTTGATATGCCTCTACACCAGGGGTTGAGGCGTATTTCATATGACTGTTCCTACACACGTATCTTTATATGCGGGGTTGGGTATTGTTTGATATGCCTCTACACCAGGGGTTGAGGCGTATTTCATATGACTGTTCCTACATACGTATCTTTCCATGCAGTGTTGGGTATTGTTTGATATGCCTCTACACCAGGGGTTGAGGCATATTTCATATGACTGTTCCTACATACGTATCTTTACATGCAGTGTTGGGTATTGTTTGATATGCCTCTACACCAGGGGTTGAGGCGTATTTCATATGACAGTTCCTACATACGTATCTTTCCATGCAGTGTTGGGTATTGTTTGATATGCCTCTACACCAGGGGTTGAGGCATATTTCATATGACTGTTCCTACATACGTATCTTTACATGCAGGGTTGGATATCGTTTGATATGCCTCTACACCAGGGGTTGAGACGTATTTCATATGACTGTTCCTACACACGTATCTTTACATGCAGGGTTGGGTATTGTTTGATATGCCTCTACACCAGGGGTTGAGGCGTATTTCATATGACAGTTCCTACACACGTATCTTTACATGCAGGGTTGGGTATTGTTTAATATGCCTCTACACCAGGGGTTGAGGCGTATTTCATATGACTGTTCCTACACACGTATCTTTACATGCAGGGTTGGGTATTGTTTGATATGCCTCTACACCAGGGGTTGAGGCGTATTTCATATGACCGTTCTACATACGTATCTTTACACTTCTTGATGATGGAAACTGCTGATCAACGTATGATGATGGACACGATTGATGATCGTATGATGGTGGAAACGTTTTGTCGCTTTTATGCACATACCTTTACACCAGGGGTTGAAGAGAACGATGACCTCTTCGTCGTGGTTGTACTTCCAGACGATGTCTTCGCCGTCCTTGACGCCCACGACAGTATTGACACTCAGCTCCCACTCCCCCACGGGTGATGACGCGGGGATGAATACTGACACTGTAAGAGATTTCCCCTTCTTCTCCACCAGGTTCGCTCCCCACTTCCGGGGTTTGTAGGGGGCAGCTCCAGATTCCTCCAGTCTGAAGGACTTGACGACCTTCTGATTATCCTCATCTTCACCTCCTGTAGTAACACAATACAGCAACTGCAATCCTGCTCCGTTGTGATTCATCTATAACATTACCCCCTCCGTTAGAACTCACCCAGTCACCCTGATGCTTATCGTTTCAAAGGCGTTAATATGCCTGGTTTTAGTTTCAAATAATCTACTGGACTGCCGGACGAATGAGTTATAAGAGTTATAAACATTGTATTGTGACAAATAATTTCTTTACAATCTTGACATGGCCTAGACAGAGTCCATTGACACAGCCTACATCTCAACATTTCCTAGACACAAATCTATTGACAAAGCCTACAAGTTGACACGTCATAGACACAAATCCATTGGCATAGCCTACATCTTGACATGTCCAAGACACAAATCCATTGACATAGCCTACAAGTTGACATGTCCTAGACACAAATCCATTGACACAGCCTACATTTCGACATGTCCTAGACACAAATCTATTGACTAAGCCTACAAGTTGACACGTCATAGACACAAGTTATTGACCCAGCTTGCATCTTTACAAGACCTGATAATTACATATTATGCTGCCTACCTAGTGTAAAGTCAAATGTGATGTCATTCTTCTTGATGTCATACGCTCTGTCAAATTGGATGGTCATCGTGAACTCTTGACCTCTACGTAGGACGAGCCGCGCCTTCTTGTTGGTGCCCCCACTGACTCGGTCTTGTGTACACTCGTACATGTCGGTGTTGTGGGTCTTGGTGTTGTCGGCAATGTGCAAGTCGACCCCGGTGACATGGAGTATTGTTGCTAACTCAGTTTCAGGAACAGGTGGTATTTCTGCTTTGGGCTTGGTAGTCTCTACAACATGCCGGCAACCATACCATTAACGCATACCACACACCATACTGAGTGTGTCAGGTGTGCATAAATTTGATTTCAAAGATAGAAATGTGCACAGTTGGACAATCAAGCCACCACTCGTCCACGACAACATTACACCTGGAATTGTATTTACTCCCTGACCCTCGTTCATACATGGCACCTCCGTAAACACAATCACACAGTCACCCTTACCGATATCCCAACCAATACCCACGCCTACACCAACAACAAAATCCACAACCACCTCCACGCCAAGGACAAAGCCCACAACCATGCTATCACCCACATCCACATCAATATCCCCACCAACCCACATTCACCATCCATATCCACATCCACGTCCACCCACCACAACCACAACCACAACCACATCCACATCAGAATCCACACCAACCAACGTCCAAATCAGCATCCAAAACCATATCCACATCCACATCCAAATCCACATCCACGTCCACATCCACATCCAAATCCACGTCCACATCCACATCCATACCCACCTCTTCAGCAATGCCAAAGCCCACAACCATGCTATCACCCACACCAGCATCCACATCCACATCCACATCAGAATCCACACCAACCCACATCCAAGTCAACATCCAAAACCATATCAACATCCACATTCATTTCCACATCTACGTCCACGTCCACGTCCACGTCCACGTCCACATCCACATCCACATCCACATCTTCAGCAATGCCAAAGCCCACAACCATGCTATCACCCACACCAACATCCACATCCACATCAGAATCCACACCAACCCACATCCAAATCAACATCCAAAACCATATCCACATCCACATCCACGTCCACATCCACATCTACATCCACATCCACATCCACATCTTCAGAAATGCCAAAGCCCACAACCATGCTATCACCCACACCAACATCCACATCAGAATCCACACCAACCCACATTCAAAACCATATCCACATCCACATCCATACTAACTTCCATATCCGCGTCCAGACCAACATCCACATCCACACCAACGCCAAAAACCTTGCCATCACCCCCACCCACAACCACGTCCACACCACCAACAACATCCATATCTACATCCACACCCACATCCACACCTATGCCAACTCCCATCTATTGTATTAGGCTAGCACTATAAAATCGGCATTTGTCCGTACCAGTACACCCCCCTCCCCCCACGCACGCGCGCGCGCACGCACACACACACGCATGCATGCACGCCATTATATAAGTGAAATAATCTTGGACGCGACGATAAACCCCATTTCACCTCCCCTCACCTAACCCACAACCACATGAACTCCAACCGACTCTCACACTAACATCCACATCCACACCTACCTTCACCTCCACATCCATACTCCCTCCACACCAATACAAACGTCCACAACCATGCTATCACCCACATTCAACCCCCCCACACACACACATCCACATCCAAATCCACAACCACATCTAAGCCAACTCACAGCCACACAAACATCCACATCCACACCCACGCCAGCTCCAACAACAATGCCATCACCCACACCCACATCCTTACCCACAACCACACTTAGATCTACAGCCACATCCACACCCATGCAAGCTCCAACAACCATGCCATCACCCACACCCACATCCTTATCCACAACCACACCAAGATCCACATCCACATCCACACCAATACCAACTCCCAAAACCATGTCATCACCCACACCCACATCCTAACCCATCCACATTCATGCCAACGCCTACAAACAAAAACGCACACGCACATATTCATACCAAATACAATCCGCTAATACCATGATTATGAGGCAGAGCGAACGGAACGGTATTTTTACCTGGTTTCGAGGTGGCGGTTGAAACTATATTTATGCTGCTTGGGCAGACAGTTGGTAACCAGGGGCTATCTCTCATCCAGGAATTGGCACGACGTCTGCCGTACACGCTATGTGCGTAATATCTGAAGTTACATCTGAAACAACAGTGTTCAACAATAAGTTTGTTTATTAGTTTATTAAGGTAGACGTGTCTTTGTTGTTAACGCTGCACTCAGTAATATTCCAGCTATATGTCGTCAGTCTGTGAATACAGTCTTTACCAAACAATCCAGTGATCGACATCCTGAGCATCGCTCCGCGCATTTGGGCTACTATGACATGGATTAACCAAGTCAGCGAGCCTGACCACCCGATCCCGCCAGTCGTCTCTTACGACAGGCATGGGTCGCTGAAGATATATTCTAACCTTGATCGCCACTGATCTCAATAATAGGTACCGACAAGGAGCAGAACTGAGCCCACACATATTGAATATTATATAAAGCACTGTCCCGAGCAATTGTCCCAACAACGATCCTTGCAATGTTTGGACTGCCACAAGGACCGTCCCTAGTAATGCCCCTAGATATATTAGTGTCTCTAGCATCATGCATAGCACTGTCTACACAGCAATGTGATCAGAACTGTCACCAAGATTGTCCCAAGGAATGTCTTTTGGGATGTCCCAGCAATGCGCCCGCAATACGCACAGGTTGGCACGGATTTTCAGTTAATATCCCTATTAATCTTCTCTTTAATGTCCCAGGCTTTGTCCCCATAAATGTTCCCAGTAGTTTCCAAACAGCACATGCACTGGCATTCCCGGGAACGTTCTCAGATTTCCCTCATGATTATTGGTAAACGCCGCACTCAGCAACATTCCAGCTATATGATTGCGGTCTGTGAATAATCAAGTGTGGACCAGACAATCCAGTGATTGATCCCATGAGCATCGAACTATGCAATTGCATGAACCAAGTCACCCGTCTGACCACCCGATCCTCTTAGTCGCCTCTTACGACAAGCATAGTCGCCTCTTACGACAAGCACGGGTTGCTGAAGACCTATTGTTACCCGGGTCTTCACCGGGGGATTGCCGTCATGAGCATCACAAGGATTGTATCGCGCAATGTTTCCCATCAATGCTCTAACGATCAGGGGGATGTCTAAAAACATTACTCTTGGAATATCGACAGAAATGTTCAAAGCAGCTATGGAACTGCGATTTCCCGAGCAATATCCATTCGCCCATGCTATCTCCAGCAACTCCGTGAAACGCCAAAAGCTGCACTCAGCAATATTCCAGCAATATGACGCTAGTCTGTAAATACTCGAGTCTGTACCAGACAAGCCTGTGATAAAATAGTTATCATATGTATTTTTTGTAATGTGCAAGTATTTCTCAGTAACGTTAAAGCAGCATCCAAATCATTTTCTCAGAAAGGTCTGTGGTTTGATCCCCGTATGCGTCATACCAAAAGACGTTAAAAGATGGTACTTGTTGTTACCCTGCCTGGTGCTCGGCATGAAGGGGATAAAAGTAGGACTTGTAGACTCGGAGTCAATATCCCTTGTCTGATTGGAGCATCCAAGTTAAACAGCGGCATGGTGTCTCACTGGGTTAACACAATAAAACCGGCAATAGTCGGTAAAAGCAGCCACGTTCACACGTCACTACAGAACTGCAATAATCTTGAACGCGACGTTAAACCCTATTGTTTGTTTATTTGCTGTTTAACCTCACACTCAGCAATATTCCAGCTATATGACAGCGGTCTGTAAATAATCGAGTCTGGACCAGACAATGTAGTTATTGATATCATGAACATCGATCCACACAATTGGGACACGATGACACGCATTAACCACATCAGCGAGCCTGACCACGACAAGCATAGTCGCCTTTGACGGCAAGCATGGGTTGCTGAAGACCCGGATCTTCACGGAACCCCACTGCACCTCACCCCCAAACGTTGAATACAAGACTCAGACTTTTATATGACGCATCACTATGAGTTTTGTATTCCTTGCTCGAAACAAAAGTACAGAAATGGGTTTGCACTCGAAATGGTTTACTGTGCATACACCATTGCAAGATAACCGCTTATTTACGTATGTTATTATCGGCGCTCAGCATAGAGTATTAATCATATCACATGGTGAGGCAGGCAGGCTGCCATGAATAGATTTGATAACTATTATAAATCCAAACATTATTCAAACTTCCTTACATTCAAACAGGAACATATTCACAACAGATCGGAGCATATTTTCATCGAAGCAGAGTTTGAGCTGTTATTGTAGGTCATTAATTTTATCATACAAGGAAAAGTTCAGCTGTATTCAGAGAGTGTCAATACCCAAATCATACCCACGCCACTCCCTCTCCCTCTCACCTTCTTCTCGGGAACATCTTCGCAAATTAAAGTTGCACGTTGCTATCGGTGCACGTTGCAGTTGCTAGCTTCCGCGTTGCTCTTGGTGATCAGTCGATGTGGCCGTCAAATCTACACTTCACGTATGAGACGTCAGACCGACGTGGCAAGCTTCAGCTGCAACCGAGAGATGGTCAGAATAGATGTCAGTGTGACCCATGTGGACAAACGTTCAACGTTATGACATAGGAAGATACCTACAATACAATAGGCAAAATGTGGCAGTAGGTTTAGAAACGTAGCAGAAACACACCAGGATCTATGAGTGTAGGCAAGTTGTCTTCACAGTGTAGTCACCCAACTACACCCAACAGATAATCAGAGGTGAGACAACAGCTAACTCAAATGTTTCTGAAGTGTTTTGAAACGACATTTACCTCGTCATTGTCCATTCGTTGTACCACAGCCCTCTCTCTACTATGTCACGCTCTGTTTCTCCCCGGGAGCTGTTTATACTCACCAAGCTCGTCAGCTGTGGAGTGTCCTATTGATTAGCAGCATACACAACTATCTTGTTCCCTTGTTTATGTCACATATAAGAGTTGATATCCCATAAGGAAACTCTGTAACATGTATCCCTTCGTCAGCTTCAAATCGCGTCCGGATTCAAATCGAGGGAAATTGAGCGATTGAACTGAGAGTTGGTGGATAACATTATGGGGTGTGCATTCACTTATGCACCTGTGTATGCAGTCAGTATTGTAGCATACTAGGTCATGACAACAAGCACCGGCTGCCCGATTGAGTCGGTATTGTTCCTGCTTCAATGGCTCTGCTAAGTGTGACATTTCGAACGCGAGGTCTGCATATTTGCCATGTTTTCCTGATTCTTGTCAATCACATTACTGTCAAAGGGACAGAATGATATAAAGGGACAGAATGATATAAATGATTTCATTGGATTTATCAAAAGGGACAAGAGCAGGTTTGTTGGCCTGGATATGTCGGAGGCTGTATACGGCCCTATTCCAAAGAATTTTGTATTTATCATTTTTCATGACGCCCTCTCCATATTCGGAGTCATTCCATGGATGGACCTCAAACATGGCTAAGACGGTAATAAAATGATCGAGCTACACCATAATGTCGCTTAAGATACTGTGTTTGTGCCAAAGCTGGGCATCCACTGACCATGTGTTGGACAGTCTCATTAACTTCACTACATAATCTACATTTCATATTTACATGTTGATGCAAAATCACACATATACGGTTTCGACTGGGAAGTGACTGGTCCTGAGCAGCAATCAGAAAACCTTCTGTTTTACTTTTCAGGCCAGACGACTTCATCTATGCAAAGGACCCTGCGGGATTGCTGATCTTCTCAACACACTGCACATAAACTCGATGCATTGGTCCTTCAGATTGCCTCTCCTTTAAAACCTGGGCCGACTTGATATGGCACTTCGCTTAGTTGACACTCATTTCTGTACTGTCCAGCAGTACATGACCATCAACAAAATCAACACCGACATTGAGATTATGTCCCACATCCTTGGCATTATTATTATTATCATTATTATTATCATTATCATTATTATTATTATTATTAAGTAGGTCAGAATGACATAATCACGACATGTACTTAAAATATTGAGAGATATGCAAGGAGTAGGTGAGTGGTGGGCGTGGTGAGATGGAAAGTCGTTAAGCTACAACCCGTGAAGATCCGGGTTAGGATAGGTCTTCACCTACCCATGCTTGTAGTAAGAGACGACTAACGGGATCGGGTGGTCAGGCTCGCTGACTTGATGCATGTTATCGTATCCCAATTGCGTGGACTGGTGCTCATGATGTCAATCACTGGATTGTCTGGTCCAGACTCAATTATTTACAGACCGCCGTCATACAGCTGGAATATTGCTGAGCGCGGCGATAAACAACAGACAAACAAACGTTGAACCACTTTTGTGTCCCAATAATTTGTTCATGTTTTGAATGCTCAATTGGTCAATGGAGGTGGCAATATACACTGAACAAGTTAGGGATCTTGAACATGTTTGGGGACATGTGATTGTAGTGAAGACATAATGTCGTACAAATATCCGAAACAATATTCATGATCACTTACGTCTTGTGTTCAGTATAATATGACAAAGGTGTATATTTTACCTCCTAGGAACACCGTCCGTGACCTGGGGTGGATGCGTTTCACAGTTTCAGTTAATAGATTAGGTTATCTAAATTCGAAAAGTCTGTACTGAGCCTGTGTTCATGATTCTCAAAGTCGTAGCCTTAGAACAGCCAATGTTCTCTACTACAGGTATACCACAACTCTACAACATCCAGATAACATCCATGCAACAGGTAAATACCTACTATACAACAGTTATACCACAACTCTACAACATCCAGATAATATCCATGCAACAGGTAAAAAACTACTATACTACAGTTATACCACAACATTACAAAATCCAGATAACATCCATGCAACAAGTAAATACCTAGTATATACTACAGTTATACCACAACACTACAACATCCAGATAACATCCATGCAACAGGTAAATACCAAGTATACTACAGTTATACCACAACACTACAACATCCAGATAATATCCATGCAACAGCTAAATAACTACTATAGTACAGTTATACCACAACACTACACCATCCAGATAACATCCATGCAACAGGTAAATAACTACTATACTACAGTTATACCACAACACTACAACATCCAGATAACATCCATGCAACAGCTAAATAACTACTATAGTACAGTTATACCACAACACTACAATATCCAGATAACATCCATGCAACAGCTAAATAACTACTATAGTACAGTTATACCACAACACTACAACATCCAGATAACATCCATGCTACAGGTAAATACCCACTATACTACAGTTATACCACAACTCTGCAACATCCAGATAACATCCATGCAACAGGTAAATAACTAGTATACTACAGTTATACCACAACACTACAACATCCAGATAACATCCATGCTACAGGTAAATACCCACTATACTACAGTTATACCACAACTCTGCAACATCCAGATAACATCCATGCAACAGGTAAATAACTAGTATACTACAGTTATACCACAACACTACAACATCCAGATAACATCCATGCAACAGGTAAATAACTACTATACTACAGTTATACCACAACTCTACAACATCCAGATAACATCCATGCAACAGGTAAATAACTACTATACTACAGTTATACCACAACACTACAACATCCAGATAACATCCATGCAACAGCTAAATAACTACTATACTACAGTTATACCACAACACTACAACACTCAGATAACATCCATGCAACAGGTAAATAACTACTATACTACAGTTATACCACAACACTACAACATCCAGATAACATCCATGCTACAGGTAAATACCCACTATACTGCAGTTATACCACAACTCTGCAACATCCAGATAACATCCATGCAACAGCTAAATAACTACTATACTACAGTTATACCACAACACTACAACATCCAGATAAAATCCATGCAACAGGTAAATAACTACTATACTACAGTTATACCACAACACTACAACATCCAGATAACATCCATGTAACAGCTAAATAACTACTATACTACAGTTATACCACAACACTACAACATCCAGATAACATCCATGCAACAGCTACATAACTACTATACTACAGTTATACCACAACACTACAACATCCAGATAACATCCATGCAACAGGTAAATAACTACTATAGTATAGTTATACCGCAACACTACAACATCAAGATAACATCCATGCAACAGGTAAATAACTAGTATACTACAGTTATACCACAACTCTACAACATCCAGATAACATCCATGCAACAGGTAAATAACTACTATACTACAGTTATACCACAACACTACAACATCCAGATAACATCCATGCAACAGGTAAATAACTACTATACTACAGTTATACCACAACTCTACAACATCCAGATAACATCCATGCTGCAGGTAAATACCCACTATACTACAGTTATACCACAACTCTACAACATCCAGATAACATCCATGCTACAGGTAAATACCCACTATACTACAGTTATACCACAACTCTGCAACATCCAGATAACATCCATGCAACAGGTAAATAACTACTATACTACAGTTATACCACAAGACTACAAACTCCAGATAACATCCATTAAACAGGTAAATAACTACTATACTACAGTTATACCACAACACTACAACATCCAGATAACATCCATGCAACAGGTAAATACCCACTATACTGCAGTTATACCACAACTCTGCAACATCCAGATAACATCCATGCTACAGGTAAATACCCACTATACTACAGTTATACCACAACTCTGCAACATCCAGATAACATCCATGCAACAGGTAAATAACTACTATACTACAGTTATACCACAAGACTACAAACTCCAGATAACATCCATGCAACAGGTAAATAACTACTATACTACAGTTATACCACAACACTACAACATCCAGATAACATCCATGCAACAGGTCAATACCTACTATACTACAGTTATACCACAACACTACAACATCCAGATAACATCCATGCAACAGGTAAATACATACTATACTACAGTTATACCACAACACTACAACATCCAGATAACATCCATGCAACAGGTAAATACATACTATACTACAGTTATACCACAACACTACAACATCCAGATAACATCCATGCAACAGGTAAATAACTAGTATACTACAGTTATACCACAACTCTACATCATCTAGATAACATCCATGCAACAGGTAAATAACTAGTATACTACAGTTAAATATATGCGACAATGGGTATACTAACGTAAAGCAGTTATTAAACAATCATACAAGGTCTTTATAACAGAGATAACCAGCAACACAACAAATACATAACAACTTTGTAACAGACATACAAGTGCTATATAACTTACATATAACACGTACACATCACGCAACAGTCAATGAGTTGGTTTAGTGACGTGCTGAAAAATATTACGGGTTGTCACCTTGATGTGGAAGGAAAGCCAGTGATGCAGGACTTAGAAGTATACAGGTTAAAACAGGCATAGAACAATTATATAACAACTGTATAAGGGCCATACAAGTGCTACATACATGCAACTGTTATATCACTACAATAAAACAACGATATGGCAACTATTAAAGCTACACAACAGCTCCATAATATATTTCTCATTATACATAGCCACACAATATAGCAGGTTTCCAGCAGTTATGTCACTGCTGGTATAGATTTTCAATGCATCACTCAGTCAGCATATATTCAAGGCTTCGGTCAGGTCGCCGGGATTTCTTTAACCATGGAGGAACATGATCAGTCCCTTGTAGGAACGCTGTCACGACACAGTTAAGCTGGTTGCCTAAAATACAGATACCATCAAGATCTACATCAAATACGTGAAAAGCTTACCACAATATCCTTTGTGAATAGATCAGTATTTTCAAGGTTGTGACAATTGGTTGCGAAATGTGATTACGCAACACGATGTTCATATTTCACGTATTTAACTATCCAACACAACTTTTCAATGACGAACATTTTTTTCCCCATGAGTCAATTGAACGATTGAACCAACATGTAGATACGGTCTTCAGATACTCAAGCACAATCGCACAAACAAAGAAACAAAGAAAGAAACAATTGGATTGAACAATTAGACGGAAATCTGTCACCAGGGCCATTCAAACTCTCAAAATC